CACTATTAGTGTGGCCAACAGCAGGCTCATCTGAAAAAGTGGTGGTATAATTGATACCAGCTGATGTGATTTAATGGAAAAATAGACCTTTTCTAATGAGCTTAATAGTGCTTTTATAAGGGAGTTGTGGTGGTGAAATAGGTTTATAACTGAATATGGCTTGCCATCAATATTTGGCTTAAAATGTCATAAAATCCGTATTAAATGGACTAAAAGTGGCTAAATGAGAAATTTCAAAGTGTTCTTAGTGTTGGGAAAGCATGAGTGAACAGGCATATGTTGGCTTGGTTTGTGGTCCAGTGTTATTCAAAACTTTCTTAGCAATTAAGAGGAAATGTTTAAGGGGACTGTTTATCAAGACAGGTGATGAGATGGAGATTTGGGAAATTGGAAGGCAAATTACTCAAATTATAGCTTTTTCTGTTGCCTGATGCCCCCCAAAGAACAATAGCCAGACAAAAAAAACCAAACCACACTTATTTCATTAGCAAACTCAAGCCAGGAGAAAACAAAAGCCCATTTGGGCTGAACAAAATTCTTCCTTTGATACAAGATGAAATATTTAATTCTGGGTAGTAACGGAAGAAGTAGGCAACCCAAAAACTGCGACTTGAAGCAAACAAAAACCCAACCAAGACTCTCCAAGTTATTAGGAACTTCCAAGCACATAAAAATGACAAAAATCCACTGATGCTGTAAGTGCATGTATAAGCAGAAAACACCCAAGAGCATGGGAAAATCATACAAGTTGTGCGTTTGGTTGTATAAATTGTATGAAGTTTGGGCTAAGGAATGTGCTGAATAAGTGTGCTAATGTTTACAGAGCATCACTTCAGAGAAGAGCAGGCTCACCAAGAAACTACGACAGCAAACCAAAGCTGCTTGGCCTATAATAGTTCATCTTTGCCTCATCCAAGAGAAGCAGAAATGTCACTGGGTCAACCTGGAGGTATATCTGCTTGAGAAGCTTTCCATGTGAGCAGCGACTTAACTCAGTGGCAGAAAGGTGGTGAGTCACCCTTCTCGTCAGGGCTAATTTGGGAAGAGATGCTCTCTCCTCAAAGGCTGCCTCTGGGAGCTGGTTGCGACGGCCGTGGCTGTGGTCACGCGTGAAGTCAGGCAGTGCATTGCAGAGACATGGGAAAGAGAGATTTCCTCAAACTATGCTGTGGGACAGTGTATCTGGGAATCCCAAGGGCTGGCTGGGGGACCCTGTGGGGACAAGTGTGGCCTCTCCATGCGTCTCTTAGAGAGGTCAGGCCATAGTCAGTGGCCTGGGAGAGGAAACGTGGCTGCATGCAGTGTCAGGCCCCAGCACGCGCTGAGCTGATTCATCCAAACTCAGACCTAAATGACCCTTCCAGGGCTCTCTGCTCCCAGCTCGTTAGCTGTAATTCAATCAGAGCACACATGTATGTGGAGAAGATGCAGCCCTTGTTACTGGAAAGAAATCTTACCCACTAATGGGTAGACTGGAGAAGAAATCAAGGGAGGGAGGTTTGTACTGGAAGGGATTTTGTGCAAAGAGTGCTTGGGGCTGGGGTGTGGGAGAAGCAAATCAGGGGGTTCCGCACAGCTCCAGGCCCCCTCCCCACGGCAGGACTCGGTGCCGGCGCCGCTCACATGGGCAGAAGTGTTACCAGGGCAGCAGCTCCTGAGGGGCTTCTGCAGCCTGGGGACCAGTGCTCCCCTGGTTAGTGCTTCTGAGGGGTGTGAGAGCTGCTCAGGTTCCTCACCAATGCTGTCTGCAGAGCAGATCAGGGGTCAGGTGTGTATTGGGATGGGGACGCCCATGAGAAGGATGGGCGATGCTCTCTCTGCCCAGTGTCCCCCTGTGCACCCAGGCAATTTGCTAGCCCAGTCCCAAAGTGCCTGGCTGAAGAGCGGGCCGCTGTTAGCCTCTGCAAGGTGGACCGGGGAAGGCAGCAGTGACAGGAGAGGCTCTGTCCCAGGGGCATACCCTCACAGCCCCCATGTCATGCCCTTCTCCGTTTCCAGTGACGCAAAGCAGCCGTCTTCCGTGCGCGTTCGTGCATCCCACAGCACGCCGCCCTGAGATGCGAAGGGACTGAGGCGGGGGAGCCCCACGCCGTCAGGAGGGCAGCAGCCTGTAGTGGCTTGGCTCTGAGCAATGACCGCCGGAGCAGCGTTCTCTGTGCTGCCTGCCTCCTCCCACGGCCTGCTGCTTGGCTGCAGCTGAGCCGAGGGACACATCCCACATGCACTCGTGTGCGGGGGTGAGCACGTGTGCGTGTGACGCTTTTCCCTAGCAGTGGTGGTGGGAGGGAAAACTTGATTTCACAGCCTTGTCTCTAGCTGCTCGGGGAGGCAGAGGGGGGGATGAAGCAGGGACAAGTGGGTGGGGGACAAGGGATGCCACAGTGGGAACTGCAGACATTTATTATAATGCTGTCTCCTGTGAGCCCCTGGGTGCCTACAGAGCACCCCACGGCCAAGAGGTGTATTGGCCAGGGAGCCTCCACCCCCAACCTTGCACCCCCAGCCCATCCTCACTGCTGATTTCTCTGTGCTGCAGGTGAAGCGAGCCAGAGCTGATATGACAGGCGTTAAAAACTGGCATGAGCTGCAGCTTCTCTAGCTGGCAAGGAGGAGGAGAATTTGATGTTGAGCACAGCACAGTCTGTGCCCTGGGAGAAGAGGCCTGACTATGGAGGATAAGAGTGGAAGGGGGTACTTTTGATTGGGGACCAGCTGGAGCAGCTAAGAGGGTATTAAACTGCAACAGCTGGGAACCGCAGCTTAGAGGAGAAACAGTACACAAACCCAAACTCCTCGTGCAGGGGCTAGACTGAACCAGTCTGTGTTAATGAACTGGAACAGAGGGAAATTTCAACTGTAGCAGTTCTAGAAGTCTGCATACCCAGTTCAGGGAAGATGGTCTTAATCGCAAAGCCCTTTGGGCTGGATGTTGTAACGGCAGTGTTAGAAATTTGTTATTACAGCCTGCTCGCACAAAAGTTGGGGAATGCACAAGGTGAATTGATGCTGACAACACCAGCATTATTAGAACCATGCAGTGGGCGTGCTTACAACCCACAGAGAAGTGTGACATTCCTAAAACTGATTACATGCCTATTTGTAGAGAAACTGCAGAATTTCTATGTTCTACACAGAGTTTCCCTGCCCTAGCAAGCAGCCTTTGGGACCTTCCTGAGCCAGGAGGTCAGGCTCTGGCTGCCAGGATTAGAATTTGCAGGCACCTTGACTGTGTCAGCCAGCTGAGCTCTTGAATTTCTTGAATGACTGTGCTGCAGTTGCACATGAACAGCAGTAACATTGCACAAGTTTGAGATTTAAAATTAAATTAATGAAATTAAATATTTAGCAACTAATTGATCAGTTGAGTTTTTTTCCCATTGGCCATATTCCACCCTTTGGCTTCTCTCTTCCCCAAACAGAAGACATCAGAGAGCTTTGGCACAAACTCTGCCAGTGCTCAGTCACTTCCTACAGATCCACCCAACTGCTGTCAACTCACTAACACTAAAAATACAAGGGGATTCACACAGTTAAGGTTTTATCCTGCCCTGAGCTGGAGCTGATTTTTGGTCCAAACAGTGCAGGGCTTGCAGGCATGTTGCCTCAGGTTTGGTATCAGGATAGTCACATTCATACAAAAACATTTTAAAGTTAATTAGAGCATTGCCTTTCAGCACAGTTAATGATCCGAGAGGATGCAGTATGCCGAGGCAGGTAAACTAGTCTGGGATTTGGGTCGTCTCTGCTGCTGGCTGTAGGCTCTAGAGACACAGGAGGGAAAAGCTCACCCTGCAACTTCTGCAGGTCGTGGGCAAAGTATTTAAAGGTTTCTGGGGAAAGGGAGTGCAGCAGTGGGTAGTGTGGGCAGACAGCCTGCTGCTGAACTGAAGCTTCTTTATTTCACAGTGGGAGCAAGACTTGAAGTGCAGCAGACCATATGCGTATCCGTCTGCCCAAAGCTTTCCCCTCTTTTATAATGGTGGTGCAGGCTGTGCTGAGCCGTGGCTCAGTAAGTGTCAGCCAATTCTCTCTCTCCAGAGGGACAACTGCCTTCTGCACCCTCCAAGGGCTGAGGACAAGTGGTGTAGCTGAAGTCGTTCTGTGCTCCCTTGGGGCTACAGCAGAGCCAGGCAGTGCAGTTGCCACCAAACATCCCCACAGCCAAGTGTTTCCTGGGTTCAGCCTTTAGCACTGAGTAGCCTCAATGCTGCCACAAAGTCCTCTCTGGGCAGGCACAGTTATGCCTATCGTCTTAATTAATCGTCTTCCCCTGGAGACTTGGGGACTTACGAGTCCCAGGGTCTGGCTTTTGATTAGAGGCAAATGAAAATGGAGAAGTAAGGTGTTGCAGTGACACTCATATATCTAAGGCAGTTGTGTTGTCAACCTCCTGTCTTTTTTTTCCTACACATGTACATTAGCTGTCCCCAAATATGTTTTCTGGGACACACACATTTTATATCCCAACAGTGATATGCCTATCAGAGGTTTTTTTCAGCCTCACCAAAGGCATATATCCACATGCCTCTAGAATAAAACAGGACAATCTCGTCTGCCTGGGTAGTTCCTCAGTGAATTTACATTCTTCTTTCCTTAAAGCTCTGGTTTCTGCGTTTGTTGGGATTACAAGAACCTTTTGTGTTTAAAATTCTTGTCCCTTGATTTCCCCAGGTTGCTTTAAATAGAAGGAGAAAATGAATAGACAAACAAGCAAAGCTCGTCTCACTTCTCAGAATTGATTCTCTGACCCTTTTTACTGTCTGTGCACCTCTGAAAATCTCCAGCTTTTCTCTGCACCTTTCCACCTTTTGCAATAGAGGAAAACCCCTGAAGCTTTTTCCACCCTTTTAAAAGAATCCACCTCTGCAGCCAGACACCAAGCTTCATTTCTGGTAAGGTTTTCAATCCCCCTCACTGCTTTGTCTTGGTTTATACGTCACCCTCTTCCTCTCGGGTGGGCAAAAAGGGGACGGGTGCTGCCGCTGCGCTGGCTCCTGACTGGGTCACCCAGTGCTACTGGGCTGGCTGGGCTCGGCTATAAAACAGAGCCAAGGCAGCGCAGCCGGCTCAGAGGCGAGGCTGAATTCTGCAGGCGACAAGGGACCCGCAGGCAGCCTCTGCTACCTCCTGCGTTGTTGTTTTTCTGGAATACAGAACCGACCTCGGGAGCAAGATGTGCAAGGGACTCGCTGCGCTGCCAGCCACTTGCTTAAAAAGGTACTGTTTATTTCTGAGCATCTGTTTTGTTATTCAGGAGATACGCTGATGCATTGCACTTTGTGTCTGAAGCAGAAGTGGCAGATTCAGCTCTGATTCTTTTGTAAGATTAGATACAAATGATTGCCTACAGACTTTTTTTTTTTTTTTTTTTTTTTCTGTTAGTCAGAAGCAGAATTGCATAAAGGCTTTGTATGGAGCTGTGGGAACTCTAACCCCATCCTTCCCATCAGCAAAATAAGCAGCTCTTAGCATTGCTATATTTTGATTATCCTCTCATCTGCTTCTACCACAAGCTTTGCACCCCTTTTCTCCTTTGAATCCTGTCTCGGCTGGATTTTCTCCTCTTGATTTTTTGAGGAGGAAGCAAGGCAGACAGGATATCAAAAAACGTGAGGGTCGTTCCCCAAATGCAGAACCCCAGCCTGGCAGGAGCAGAGACCTGGCCGCTCGTGGGCAGGGCAGGGATGCGGGCCAGCCCAGGGCACCACGGACCTGGATGCAGCCCCGGGGGTCGGCCTGCATCCCCTGGGGGTGTACTGATGGGGGGGAGGGGGGGGCGGTCAGGGCGCACCCTGATGCACAGAGCTGTGGGGCTGGCCATACCCCCGCTGCGGGGTCCGGCTGCACCCTGACCTGTGGTACCGGCCAGGCACCCCTGCGCTGGCAGAGCGGAGCCCCTGCACCCCCAAGCGCCCCACAGCCCAGCGTGAGGGGGTCTCTGTGCCTGCCAGGGGGCCACGAGCGCTGCCGGAGGGGTGTTACTCCCTTTCAGGTGCTATGGGGCCTGGAGGAGACCCCCAGCAAAGTGGCCCAGGTCTCCAGAATGGCACCAACCCCCCACAAAACTCCCTGCTCATCCAGCCCAGGCGAGCTGCACTGGTCTCTGCTGGTGTAGCGCTGCCTTCCTGGCCGCTCAGCCCCCAGGGAGCGCGCCTGAGGCTGCTTCCCCCTGGCTGGGCAATGGGGAGGACAGGGAAAATGCAAACTGAGACTCGGCCTCCTCCCATCTGGGAGAAAAAAGCTCCCTGCTCATGGTGGATTTGAAAAGAAGTGCTGAAACTGTGAGGAATTTGCAGGAACATTTGATGTGGAGAAAAAAAAAAAAAAAAAAAAAAAACATTTGAAAAATTGCAAATCAAAAAAAGGTTCACATCTTTTAACCACCTCTGTCCAGGATTCCCAAGAAAATCCGCCTCCTTCAGAAAGCTGCAGGACTCGCTGCACACAGTGGTGTTTTGTTTCCTCCTGCTGCTGCCTTCCTGCAGACCTGAGCCATCTCCTTTTGGGGACAGGTCGCATGGCAGCCCGAGTCCCGCAGCGCCGAGCAGCCGGTGCCTGCCTGGCCAGGGCCTGGGTGCTGGCCCTGGTCACTCACACCCCGCTCGAAAGAAGCTCAGGGTTTCCTTTGCTCTCAGCCTAGTGCTGGAGTTGATAGGGAAACATTCATGAGCGCAGGCAAGCAGTGAGATAAGATATGGCTGGGACTGCTGACAGGGTGCTGTGGCTGGAGCAAAGAGCAGTGCTGGGAGTCTGAGCAGCTACCGGAGCTCAGCTCTGCAGCACAACCTCTTGGTCTTTTCCAGGCTCTGATCTGAGGAGCGGGAGAAGAATTTCCTGCTTGCTCTATCATTGCACCCTGCAGCAGGCCAGGGCTTGTGCCCCTGGGCAAGCTCCAGGACTGATGTACCTGCCCCTCCTTCTTAAACTGGAAGGAAATACAGAGAGATGCTGAGGCCAGTACCAGCTACATTGTCTTGGTGCTGCCATCAGGCAATGATTGTCCTGAGCTCACTGGAAAGCTGAACAAAATTAAGCCTGCCCCTCCTCATAGGAGCTCACCATGGAGCAAGGGGGTAGCTTGCAGTCAGCGTGGGCCGGTTGTGGTGAAGCTCTGGGCTCATCCCCTGACCCCACCCCATGGTCCTGCCCTGAGTCCTTCGCTTCCTCCCTTCCCTCTGCCACGGGCAGCTGCCCGGTGGGGTGGCCTGGCACGGCCCCGCTGTTCCTGGGGCTGGGTGGGGAGCTGGCAAGGGCTGCAGGAAAGGATTAGTAAGCGTGTAAGAGCTGGACACGGGTAGCTGGGCAAATCAGCTCAGGGAGAAGTGACACAATTACCACGCAGCGATGCCTTTCTATCACAATATTTTAACTGTAAACAAGCAATAGGAAAACAGCAGCTTGTCTCTCTTTGCCAGCCCAGTGCATTATGTGAGGAGTGGAAAGTCAGCACTGGTGTACTTACTGGTGTCACTAGCTGTGACCTGCATTTGGGTCACTGAGTAATGCTGAATGAGCTTATTGCAGGTGAGGAGGCTGCAGAGGGAGATGTAACGCATTACCTTCATCTCACTCTTGAATTGTTTCTTTCAGTGCCAAAGATATGAAGCATCGTCTGGGCTTCTTGCTGCAGAAGTCAGACTCCTGTGACTACAGTTCTTCCCAGGGCAAGAAGGAGAAAATATCTTCAAGCCAGAGGTAAGAGCAGATGCTGCCACGTAGTTAAGCCCAGACTGCCTGCAACACGCTGCTTATTCCTTCACTGAGCTAAACTTCATTAGCGTTTCTGCTGCTGCTCCCCAGTACCACCTGAACACCTCTGTGTTTGAATCCAGTGTGGCACCAGTCCTCAGGTACTGATAGTTCCTTCCTGTGAAGAAGGTTGAACTAGAGGTCCCTTTCTGCCAGCATTTCAGTGATTCAGCGTGCACGTGCCCATGGAAAGACTTGTGCAGTCTCCTGCACGGGGGACTAACGCCATCACAAGGCTTGGTGCGGCTTGACACATTGCAGTATCAGCAGCACCGGCTCTTTGAGCTGGGTTTGTGCAGTGGTCTGCACAGCTGCACAGAGGTACTGGCAAATAAAACAGAGAGAGCAGCCTGTCAGGGTATCGCTGCTCTCACTGAGGTGCAAGTAGATTGTATCCTTTCTAAGGAGGACTCCAAAGGCCAAAATAATGCTCCTGGAACAGATGAGCCCGAGGATGTTCTGGTATGGTAGGGGGAATGAACGCAGGATGTGCAAACATGATTTCTAGTTCCCACGTTCCTCTCTCTTCTATCTAGCTACTGTTCCCCTGAAAGATTAAAGAAATCAGCCCCTTCAGGTTGTCTGATATGACCTGTAAGAGTGATCCCAGGTCCATGCCCCTGAGAGAGATGTAGCCAGTCACAGAATAAAAACAAAGTCCCCAACAATTTTTCCAGGAAAATTCTTTTCCAGTCCATGGACAGTGATGGGGATTGCAAACCGGAATTTCTGTAGATTAGATCTGGAATCCCTAGGGCTCTCTGTAAAGCAAGCAGACACTTCCTGCTTGGTCTCTTGTGTATGCTCTTACAACAATTAGGGAAAGGGATTTTCTAATGGTGCTGAACAAAAAAACAAATTTGTCCTTTCTGTACTCCCCTTAAATATTCCCTATATTTCTCCCTTTGTCTCCTTTTAGGGTTAGCCAAGAGGAAATCAGAAAGTGGGCAGACTCCTTGGAAAACTTGATCCATCATGACAGTAAGTAAAGAGGTCCCTTCTGCTGGAGACGTTGAGGGTGCTGCCTGCAGAGTGTGTGCTGAGCAGCCCCTGGAGCGGGCACGGGACATTACCTTACCTCTCTTAGCAGCTCACAGTGGCTCCTTTGGCCACACAGGCCTCTGGGAGGGGTGGTGAAGGGTGCTCTTGGTCAGACCCTAGGGACTATCCCAAGGTATCATGAGTGTGGCTTTGGCCTATGCCTGAGTTGTGCCTGTTGTGAGAGCAACTGGCTTAACTCCTGTACAAGGTGGGAACAATACTGCAGCACACGGTTAAGCGCGGGTTAAACAAGAGCCAAAAAGTGGAGAAACTGTTTGCAACTGAGCCCATGGGACACTTTGTCTTCCCGTTGGTTCCAGGCTACACTGATGTCCCTGAGGTTCCCTTCGCACTGTTCCCATGGCCTGAGACTCGGTGGTGTGTGTTGGCTGTCTCGTCGCAGCCTCCTGGGAACATGCAAGTTGCTTGTGTTCTCCTGGCCGAGCCACTGAAGGTCACAGTGGGGGAGCAGGCAGCTGAGGACCCACGTGTGACATCCCCGTGGGGCCTGTCTGAATTCCAGCCTCCCTCGGCATGCACAAGCGACTGCAGTGGAGGCAGGCAGCCATCCCCACTGCTAGCCCCAGGGGAGCAGCTCATTCATCTCTGGGAGGGAGAATGCAGAATTGCTGAGGTTCACAGGTATGACTCTCCAGGAACCAGCCCTCTTACCTGATCTGGTTTTCCTCTGGGCAATCTGTAGGAGGACTGGCTGCTTTCCGTGCTTTTCTCAAGTCTGAGTACAGTGAGGAAAACATCGAGTTCTGGGTCAGTTGTGAGGACTACAAGAAAACCAAGTCACCAGCCAAGCTCAGCCCCAAGGCCAGAAAGATCTATGATGAGTTCATCTCGGTGCAGGCAATAAAAGAGGTATGTGCACAGAACACTTCTTGGGCAAAGGTGAGATGCTAAATCCCCAACCAGGCCAGCAGCACAGGGAAGTAGAGATCTGGTAGTTTCACAAGAGTTGAAGGATGTTGCTTCTCTGTTAGCTAGCAAGAAAATGGTGTCATTTTTATTGCTTTCATATTAAAATTTGATAGAGAAAAAGTGAGTTTAGTTGCAACCCCGTTTCCATCCCATGTGCACACTGCAGTGGGAGAAGCCCAGGAGGACCATGTTTCCCAGTGTTCCAGCTGCTCCTGTGCAGTTGCTTGAGTCTCCTGCCTGGCTGCATCCCAGAGGGAGATGTGTCGGTCTCCCCTGACAGTTCGTCTGGCAGCAGAGATGCACTGGTATCCAGCTGCACGAATTCTGCCAGGGCTACAGGGTGTCCAGCAGCCATTTCAGACCACTGCTCATCAAGGACAGCTTAAGCATGCTTGGTGAAGAGGCGCTTGGGTTTTCCTTTACCTATGCCAGCCAGTTCTGGGACAGATTCTACTTATGCTGTCCTTTTGGCCCACAGGTGAACCTGGATTCATGCACACGGGAGAAGACGAGCCACAATATGCTGGCACCTACGCTGTCCTGCTTTGATGAGGCTCAGAGGAAAATATTCACCCTCATGGAAAAGGATTCCTACCGCCGTTTCCTCAAGTCCCCCTACTACCTGGACTTGGTCAGCCCACCTGGTGCTGGCTGCGGGCCTGAAAACTGCAAAAGAAGCCACACTCACACTTTAGACTGCAACTCCAACATCATCTCTCAGTGCGCCTGAGCCTGCAGCAAGGCAGGAACGGGCTGGGCTCTTGTAAGAATATACGGCAGCAAAAGCATTCATTGGCATGAAGCAACAGAGCTGTCTCCAATAGCTGTCTAATGTCTCAGTTGTATCCCATGTCGTGCGACAGCCAGCATTTGTAACCCAAGCCAGGCTCAGTTTGTGTAGCAAACCCTCCTCTGACCCACCGGTGTAGGACCCCGGAGTCTGTGTCTGGCGTGGAGGCTGGGGGCAGGCACTGCATGTCTGCTGGGCTCCTGGGGAGCCGAGCGAGCCCCGGGGCCGGGGGGGAGCACACACTCAGCACCAGCACTGCCCAGCAAGGGGCCAGGCTGCAGTGGGACACCTCGCAAGGGGCAGGGGCCAGAGGAAGCCAAGGGAGGCGTTGGGGACTGTGATCTCCCCTTTCCAATCAGCAAAAGCTTAGATAGAAAGGACTTGCTCTGGTCCTTAGCTGTTCATATAGCTCCCAAATGTCTCAGCTCTCAGTAGTATTTGCTCAGAACTCAGGCTGTGCCACATTACAGTAGTCAGACATTGGGAGAGCTCCTACTCTTTCTTGAAGGGAGACCCGAACTTCTCAGACAAACAGCCTCCCTCGATCACCACAGCCACAATCGCTGGGAAACTCTCCCCTCTCGCCGCTTCTCCCTCCATAGCATCTAGCTTATGCTGGCCAAGGATCTTTCCTAGGGCTGTACAGAGCTATTATTTGGGGGGGGTGGAGTTATGGTTTCATATGTTATTAAATGTGTCCTTCATGCTCCCAGGTTAAATACTGTAGCTGAGCAGAAGAGAAATGTGTTCCTTCTCTCCCAGGCTGGCAAGTGTATATTGCTGACTCTGGAGTGCCATTTGGATTAGAAGTTTGCCTGCCCTGGCTTGTATGGAGCAGTTTGTGATGGAGTAGGACCACAAGCACAACAGCTGGGGAAGAAGGGGAGTACTTGAAAATGTCTTTTTTTTTTTTTTTTTAATGTTATTTATGTGAGTTTGTATTTCAGTAGTAGCATGACTCACTTTTTTCCTGAAGATGGGAGGAGAAATGTGTCAGTCTCATTACTGCTCCTGGGCTCTGCCAGAAGGCAGCTTTTTAAGCACTGCAGCTAGACATGGCCTTCACTGGGGGCTTTGGGACTGCCACTGACCTGCCGCTGGAGGCACAAGAAATAGATGCAGAGCTTGCTGTCTTGGGCTACACTACCGGGTATCGCGCTCTCCCCCAGCCCTTGGGCTCCCCTTAGTTGGATATTGCTGCTCTGACAACTGTGTATTCCTCGCTCTGCGTCCCAGTCCAGACAACAGTGCTCACACCGGGGTTCTGACGTGGCAGGAGGAGGCTGTGGTTCTCCAGTAGGTACTTCCATGCCCACAGAGAAGCATCTCTTCTAACATTTGCAACATTTTGTATTTATTCAGTTGTACTGACACATACCACCCTGCATGTTCAGCTGAAGTGGAGAGGCTTGCTGAAGCTCTGAACATAGCCAAGCATGTGGTTATGTTTTATTTTCCCCTGGTACTGGGAACTTGATAACTATTGCAAAAACTGTATTGATATTTAAATAATGATGAAAACATTCTAAATAAAAATGTTTGCATTAGTCCCTTCTAAAATGCCGTTGTGTGAACCAAAGAAAATGTGTGGAGATCCAATTCAGTGGCCGAGGTTACTTTGTAAAACTACTTTTTAAACGTCTTCACTCAGAGGTCGTTTTAAAATACGGAAAGATGAGACACCCGTTCTATCCTTCGGATGCCCTCGGTGCGGTGAGCCTGGGGGATGCTGGCCTTTTTGGGGTCCGTGCTGTGCCTGACAGCGAGCTCAGCCCAGGGACCGCCCATCCTTGCCGAGGGGCTGGGGTGAGCACGAGGCCCCCTTGGAGGGGGGAACGTGAAGGAGCACCTCCTCGCTGCCAATGTTCTGCAACCCCGAGCTCCGGAGGGGAACAGCTTTTGGCTCGGAGCTCAACCTGTCCCTGGGCCTAAACCTGGCGAGTGCAGAGCTGCCGCCTGCAGGCGACGTGGCTGGGGGTGCAGGGCTGGAAATGGGGGTACAGGGCTGGAAATGGGGGTGCAGGGCTGGAAATGGGGGTGCAGGTCTGGTAATGGGGGGGTGCAGGGCTGGAAATGGGGGTGCAGGGCTGGTAATGGGGATGCAGGGCTGGCAATGGGGGGGTGCAGGGCTGGAAATGGGGGTACAGGGCTGGAAATGGGGGTGCAGGGCTGGTAATGGGGGTACAGGGCTGGTAATGGGGGGGTGCAGGGCTGGTAATGGGGATGCAGGGCTGGCAATGGGGGTGCAGGGCTGGTAATGGGGGTGCGGGGCTGGTAATGGGGGGGTGCAGGGCTGGCAATGGGGGGGTGCAGGGCTGGCTCTTGCTCAGCCCCTGCCCCTGCAGGCACGGTGGCTGCTGCTGGAGCGTGATCTGGCTCTGCGAACCAAAGCCCGAGGCAGCGCCTGGGCAGAGGGGCTGGGGGTGCCCGTACCACGCTGGTGCTGGGGAGTTTTCTCTGGAGCAGCCTCCTGGGGTGATACTCTTATTCCCTTTTCAGTTTCCTAAGAAACAACCCCAGCAGAAGCTTTCAGAGGCTTTTGGTCTTGTCAGGGCACAAGTTTTGCGAGTGCCCTATAGAGGGTAAGGAAACACTGTACCTTCAGTGTAAAGAGACAAAATGAATAGTCTATCGAGATAGTAGCAGAAATTCATGTTTATGTGTGGATTACTGAGTGGTACAAGAATACGGGCTAACACAACCAGTTCCCCAGTGCACACCAGTGTCCCGCATCTTCCTCATATGAAGGTCTCTAGTGGAAATCACACAGAGAATGTCAGACTGCAAACCTGCTGCTCTTGGGTGTGAGGAGCCGATCCCCCCTCCTGACCTTGCTCCAGCCCTTGGCCATGGCACTTGGCACCTTCCAGGGAGTGAACAAGGTCTGGGGGGAGCCTGGATGAGCCCTGGGACACCCTCAGCCCGCCGTGGGTAGCCACGGCACTCCCCAGGGCTGGGACTGGGCAGCACTGGCAGAGCCCTGCCTCAGCACGGGGCAGGAGAGCTGGGTGATGCACACCGTGGCTGGTGAGGTGCGAGGGTCCAGGTCACTGAATTAATCAGAAAACACGCAGCAAACAATCCCTGTGCGTTAATCTGAGGGATGCAGCTGCAGGGAGCCCGCCTCCACATGTCCCCGTGGTGAGGAGTGGGCGCCGGGGAGGCACGGAGGCAGCGCCTGGTGCCCAGGGACCCCGGCTGCAACGTGGGGTTGCCTTGCCCCACGGCAGGGGTCAGGGTCCCTCCGAGAGCACGAGACCCACCTCCTGCGCCGGCTCGGGCGCCAGGATGCACCCAGGCTGCAGGCACCCAGGGTGATTTCAGAGGATATTTTGGAAGATGCACCTTCATGTTCACTCGGGTGGATGGCCAGGGTTTTCTTCGATGGCATCCAGCACCATGTGAAACCCATGCACGCTCATCTCCGTGACAGACCCCAAGCACAATATCCAGAAACTCTGCTTTTTGGCTCTCTGACTCACTGGGGATGCAGATGCCTGTGTTAGAGGTATGTATATATGTGTGTGTGTATACTCGTATATGTTTATGGCTATAGATGTACAACGTCGTGTGTATAGTGCTCATACATATGCTGAACTTCATGAGAGCAAGAGCGATAAAATACATGAAGTATTTCCTACCAGAAATATAATGGTTGATATCGGCCCAACAGTAAATACCCGTGGGCCTGCGGAAAGCTTGGCCGTGGAGTGGGAACAGGTATTGCTGCTTTTCTGGAGTGAGCCCACCCAAGTAATTAGCCAAACGATCCTTCTACACAAACACAACTTCCCAAGAGCTCTGAAATGCTTCAGGGGCCATATCTGATGGCCACCCAGTAGCTCACTGGCACCTGTTCAATCACCCCCAAAAGTAGGCTTCCAATGTTTTAGCAGAAATCAAGCTGGGGAGGGATTTCCAATAGAGCTGTTTTACCTCTCCTGAATCCAGTCTCTGCATTTCTTTTCGGCACATACATACCCAGACACCTTCTCCCTGCCCCATACGTTGCTGTTGCAGCTAGTGACATCTCAGGTTTTGACGACAAGCAGCAAGCCAGCCTCCAGCAGCATCCCAGCTTTGGCTGTGAAACATCCCAGCTTTTAACTGCGAAACGTGTGAGGGTATCTGGAAATAGCTGCCAAAGGATTAAATAAAAAATGAAAGATCTGGGTCTTTTTTCAGGGAAGTCTGGTTTTGCATTTCTATGAGTCATGCCATGAATAGGGAGATTGAACACGCAAAACCCTCTTGTCTTGACACCAGTTCGTGGAGACATCAGGAGGGTGGAGAAGCTCTCCAGGCAGAGGCAGTGGGAGCATCCTGCAGCAGAAGGGCTGGCCGAGCCCCCTCCAGCACCCAGCCCCGCTCCTGCCTCCCCCTTGCTGCCCACCAGCTCTGGGCAGTGGGCGCTGCCGGGGGATCCTGAGCCCTTTTGACAGGACCCTCCTGCCGCCTGTGGGCTTCCTCGGACTTTTTGGGGCCGCCCAAGCCGCCCCCTGCGCTCACCCCAGGGGAATGCCCCACGAGCATCACCCCCTGCCGCTCCAGCACCGACTTTCCCAGGCCATTTGCTCCAGAGAAAAAAAAAAACAGTCACGTTTGTGATAGCTTCCATCCTTCCTCTGCCTTCCCATCCCCGCCTGGAAAAGCAGCCCACTTCCTCCAGCTCGGGATATATTTTTCTTCATCACCATAGTGACAGCATGTAAATATTTGGGGCTGGTGGAGTTTTGATCAGATTTTGAAAGTCTTGAAGAGGCTGGCAAACCTGTTGTTTATGTTACAGCATTTCAGATGGAGTCTCATGACTTGCAGTTGAGGTTGAGCCGCCGGGGGTAGCCAGTCCGATTTCTGGGAGCGGGGTCACTTGTGATTTCACCGGCGTCTGTCGGGTTGCTGGCTGGGCAGCTCCATCCCTGCAGCGTGCCCCTTGCAAGACACAGCCCTGCGGATGCTGCACCAGGAAACCATCGCAGGGATGGAACGTCCAGGCCCCACGGAGCGGGAGTTCATCGCCTTCGCCTCGAGGCTGAAATGAGACCCCAGCCGCCTTTCACGTATGCCCTTGCCCCATCCTCAGTTGTGATTTCTTCTGGTAGCTAACAGTGGGCTGGCTTAGCATCATTTGAAAAGAGCTGGTCTTTTTAAGAGGCAGCCATGTGGAAACATGTCCTGGGCAGACAGGAGGAATCAGGAGAGAGACATGCAGGCTACACAAACTCAGCAGAGTTTGGCGTTTGCTCAAAAAGCCAGGGGTTTATTTTTCATATTTCCAATGACGGTTTGGGGTTTGGATTTGTTTTTTTGGATTTAGGGTTCTTTTTTATTGGACCTGAACAGTTGCAATTGCAGCTTTTTCTCCCCCAACATGATTGTCCTCCCTCCTCTCACCAACGCCCCTCGATTGGGTTTGTGCAGAAGTATCGCTTTGGCGTGCCTACTGCAGAGAGAAGCAACTGGAGCAAGAAATCACTGCAGCACCCCTCCCCGAAGCTGGAATGCGAGCACACCAGCAGCCACCAGCACTGCTGAGGGCCGCGCGTAGGCCCTGGGGACACGGGCACGGGCTGCAGCCTGTGAGCTCAGGACGCCGTGCAAGCGGTTGGAGCGAGCGAGGGGTCTGGGTTGCTAAACAGTCCCGGTGGTTTGAACAAACAGATCTTGTTTTATCCTCTTTATTGTCTTTAGTGTGAAGCCAGCAGGCTGCCTCGCAGCTGACTGCAAGCGGAGCCACTGGGGGAGTGGTGCCGCAGGCTCGCTCTGCCCACCCCTCGTGCCAAGCCTGCGGCACACGGCCGTGCGGTTCCCGGCTCTGCCCTACAGCCGTCCCTGCGCCTGCTGATCGGCCGCTTTCTGAGGAGAAGGGGATGCCAGTCATGAGGTGGACGTGCCCCCCTCCCGCCCCAAACCCCAGGGCTGCCAGTGCACTGGACCTCGCCGGGGAGGGGAGCACCCATGGGGCACCCCGTGCAGCCTCAGCAACGCCCAGAGAGGGTGGGAGGAAGGAGCGAGCCTGGGCCAAACCAGCGATACGGCCAAAACTGGGAGAAAAATTGTCACGTCCTAAGAAGTCTTAAGAAGGCAGAGGGGGGGCCTCAGGGCCTCCAACTAAAGCCAAGCCCCGCAGTGCCAGGGACGTGCCGGCGGCTCGAGTGGCTCCTGGTCACTGCGGGGCTGAGGCCGCTCCGCTGCCCCTCTGGGTCCCAAACCCAGGGGGGGTCACCAGGGCTTTCTGCTACTTGGGGGTTTTGAGGGAGAGGAAAGAGAGGAAACATCAGGACGTCTGGCAGTCCAAAGCACAGCAGGAAATGTTTAGCAACGCCCCTGGGTGCTCTTCTAGGGTGGTATCAAGAAAGCAAAGCAGCTGCAATAGAAGGGGCAGGTGTTCAGACAGAAGCAGTGGGACTGCCCGCGGGGAACACCTCGCACAGCCCTGCCCCGTGGCTACTTGATTAACTCCTGATAAAACTCCGACCGCACAAATCTGGGCAGAGAGTCTTTCTCCATCAGGGCAAAGATCCTCTTCTGGGCCATGTCAAAGCTGCTTGGTGATGGCTCCACCAGGTTCTTCATGGTCACAGCTTTGGTGAAGTGGTCGATGTTCACCTGTGGCGGGAGCATAAGAGGGATGGGGGCCCTGCCTTTGCGGGGGGTGGGTGATGGCATCTCCCCTCGCCTGCTCTGTCCCGCCAATAACCACACAAAGGTTACGGGGAGGGACCGAAGCAGGTTCACTTATCTGGGGGAATTATTGGTGGCAAATCTTTAAGGTTGAAGTCTATCCTGCAACAAAGCTAACTCAGGGAGGAAGATTACTGTAAATTGTCATCCCTTATGATTAAAGTAAGTGCTCTGTGGGGAGAGGGGGACAGGCTGGGATGTGCTGGGGGTGCCCGTGGCAGGAGGCAGCCCAGCAGAGGCTGAGCACACAAACAGGGGCACCAGGGCTGTGAGTGACAGGAGTGCAGCACGTGGGGTTGGGGCTGCCCCTTGCCGAGGGTACAGCCCACTGAGCCCCACAGCCATCACTCTCCTTCGGGGTGGAGGCCACCGGGGCAGCAGCCTCATCCCTCCCAGTACCATCTTCTGCCCTGTGGCCACTGACCTCTTTGGGTGCCTCAGTCTGGATGAACTCCTCGTAGATCTTCTTGGCCTTTTCTGCCATCTTCACAGGGGACTTGGTTTTCTTGTAGTCCTCGCAGGCCACCCAAAACTCGGCGTTCTCCTCGCTGAACTCGGAGCGCAGGAAGCTGCGGAAGCTGGCGAGCCCATCTGCAGGGGGCCCGAGCCCTCCCTCAGCACCGGTGGTCCCGCGGGGGGGGAAGCCCTCACTGAGCACCGGGGGGGATGTGGGATGGGTGGATGTGACCACAGGGGAATGTGAACTTACAGGGATTCTGCAGGAGCTTCTCCAGGGAATCACGCCACTGCAGAGCCTCCTCTGGTGATGGCCTGAAGAGAGTAAAGAAAGCCCAGGCGGTCCATACTCACCCCACAGCCTCCAGGCTTTTAAGGAATTCCTTTAAAAATGGGAAGGAACGGAGTAAAGATCTGTGGAGACTGTTGCAGAGCAGGGGCAATGGTGGAGCAAGAGGGATGCCGCTGCATCGCAGCCCGAGTGCCCTCCTCCTGGGGAGACCCGAGTGCCAGGGAAGGTGAGGACGGGTCTGGGTGGGTGAATTCCCCCGTGTTTGAGCAGGGATGTGGCTGAACTGCAAAGTGAGTCCCCTCTGCAGCCGTGGGTCCCCGCCTTGCCCTGGTGCCCATGCATGGGAAGGCAGAGAGGGGGCTCTGCAGAGAGCTGGGAAGCATCCCTGTGTTATCCTGCTGGGGTGGGGAAGGATGCTCCCTGCTGGGGGGGGTGGGGTGGGGAGGGGGGGTCGAATAATTGCAGCCCTGCGCTGCCGGGGCTGGGGTCAGCGCCCCTCCACTCCCACAGCCCTCCCGCCCCATTCCCACGCCCCGCCACCGGGCAGGACACCGGCCTCGGCTCCCTCCCCCGTGAAAACCTTCAGTGTTTTTCATGCGCGTGGTTTCTCCACTTTTTTTTTTTTTTTTTTATTTTTAAATGCAATGCTTGTAATGTGTCTAAAGAGCTTCATGGGGACTTTTGTCTGTGGTTTTGTTGTTTGGTAATTTTTAAGCCACAAGGAGTTTGATGGAGCTGCCCTGGGGCAGGGGGCTCCCCGATGCCCAGTGGAGGGGAACGGAAGCCCCTCGCACCACTGAGCGCTGGGCTCACCGCGGACCCAACGCAAACCAGATTTCCTGGAAACTACCAAATTCACTTTTCCATTATCTGAATGTCCCAGGGATGATATGAACTGTGAGCAAGATGCTGACGGGGGAGTGATACCGAGGCTGCAGCGCAGGGGAAAACAACTCCTCCAGCCAGCGGGGAGTGACGATGTTCTCCGGCTTTCTGCGGGGACGGCTAACGGGGACAAATGTGTCCCCTTGGCAGAGGCACCCGGGGCACGGCAGCGACTGAGTGTGAAAGGCCCGGGCAGCGCCGGGGTGGGCAGGCACAATGCTGCAGGTGTCCCCGTGTGCTGCAGCCATCACAGTGACTGCAGCCCCTGTTTTGGTTGGTTTGGGATTTTTAGTAATCCCTTGGTGGAGGGTTATTGGTTTAGAATAATGTTGCCGTGGGGAGAGGGGCTGGTGTAAACCAAAAAGTCGTGCTTTTAAAGTGGAAATAGAAAGCTGGCCTTGTGAAAAGCAGGCATGCACCTCTCCTGGTTCTCGTTGTGAAATGGCCACATGAGCCCTTCAAGATGGGCCTTTTTTCCCCACAAGCAAGGCCAGTCAGCCTCTCCTACCTCCAGCGAGTTAGTCTGGGTGCTGTCAGACCTGGGTCTTCTGGCCCTGTGTGTGTCTGGGTGCAGCTCGAGGGCAGGGAGCTACTCCCCGGGGCAGGGACACGCGTCTCCAGGACACTCACACACATGGATGGTGGCAGGGCTGAGTGTCCAGGGCAGCAGCTCAGGCCCCTGGCTCAGCTGCCCGAGGCTGGGCTGGAGGTACCCCAGGGGAAGTCATCCTTTTACATCATGGAAGCCATCCTGCTTTTAGATTTAAACTAACACTTCTTTTCAAGGTTTATTTTGCCTCTTTTGAACTGTTAATCCTGCAGCAAAGCCCATCAGCCTCTCTAGCTTCTCCTCTGCTTTGCTTTGTCATTAAACCAGCTTGGTGCCGGACAGCAGAGGCTCAGGACAAAGGCAATAAGGTGAGAGGGTGCTATCATCGTGGATCTGCCCAGAGCCAAGCATCATTCCATGGGGCCATGCACCCAGCGCGGGGGACGCGCAGTGGCCCCGAAGCCGGCAGGCTGCGCAAGGCTGGCACCTCTGGGCTGAGACAGGTGACTCAGAGAAATCTGAGCGCAGTATGCCTCCAGCAAAACCTTTATCGAATAATGTGAAATCTCATCAAAAGTAAATTGAGTTTCCATGAGAAATCTGGTTTCCATAAAGCTGTATCGCCTGACACATCTCATGTTGCCCTGACGTAACTCTCCGAGCCCGCACCTAGCCGGCGGGTCACGAAGAGCGTGCCACGAGCTGCCTGCCACATAAAGCCTGCTGTGCCCACCCGCTTCAGCTCCTCCGCATCCCAAAAGGGCTCGCACCCACCCTGCCGGGGGGGCACGGGTGCCAGCACAGCCCTCCCCGGCGCAGTACTCACTTCTGGGCCTTGGGCGGCTTCTCCGGCTTCTCTGGGTAAGGGATGATGAAGTCAATGGCCGAGTCAGGCTTCTGGAGCAGCGTGCCCAGCTTAGTCTTGATCTCCTTGGCCCTGAGGGAGGGGACGAGCAGAGGCCAGTCAGACAGAGGGACATGGGAGTGGGGGTGGTCCCTGCCCTGCGCCCGCATGGCCCCCGGAGCGGAGCGGCCGCTGGTGGGGTACAAAGCTGTGTAATTAATGACACATGAACAAATGGACCCTGATGCCGTAAAGGCGCCTGGATGAGGCATTTCAAACCCGGCACTCAGAATTAGCGGCACCTCTTGATCTTGATCTCTTTGCTTTGTCCCCATCTGTGGCCGGGATAATTGTATCAGTGGAGCTGGCGGGTGGCTCTGAGGATGAATTAGGGGACGTGTGTGTGTGCAGCACTCAGTTTCTATAGTGATGAGCCCGGAGGAAATGCTGGCGAGGAGATGAAGGAGCTGCCTTCAGAGCAGAGGCTGTGCAGGGGCCGTGCTGGGCTGCACGGCGGTGCCTGCCCCACTCCAAGCCCCATCCCACACGGTGCCCACTTCGCAACAGCATTTGGAGCAGGGCACCCTAATATCATCCAGAGAGGGTACATATAAGTAATATATAAGCCTTTTGTCTGCCAACAGGCAGGGTCCTGCAAACAGGTACCTCCTGGGTGCTGCTTTCTGTGGGCAGAGGAATAAGGAGGGTTTCAGGAGCTGAAGTACTCTGGCTGCCAAAGGGCAAATGCTGGTCACCGCTCCCCCGAGGCCATGCTCCAGACCTCCATTTGGAGGATGCAGAGACAAGAGGGGTCCTGGGGCTTGACAGCAGGTCCATCTGTCTCCCCAAATGTTCCCTTTTGTGCCATACAATTTACAAGGTGGTCCTGAGCATCTGAAGGCAGCAAAGAGTCGCCCTTCCGCTGCAGCTCAGTGGTGATAGAGAGAGCAAGCTGGGCTTTTGCAGACAAAACCTGGGTGTGCTGCATAAGACTGAAGGACTAAAGGGGTGAAAACAGATACCCCCCAAACCCCATCTTTGTAGGGCAGGACTTCTCCCTGGCACAGTAGCATTTGGTGACTTCCAGGTCATCTTGCTGGCACAGGAGGTGAATGAGAGCAAGGGGACACACTGCTTCCCCACGGGCTGGCTTCGGGGCTTGCTGTGCTTCTCCTCTGCAGTTTATTTTCAGAAGCTCTCTGTGGATGATCACACCCTCGCTATGTCTGCTATTTCATCTCCATTCCTTTGGGTTTTTTTCCCCTCCCTGTAAAACTCCCTCTGTTTTGGGTTTCTACCCGCCAGCCCCCACGGGTGACAGTTTGAGACCCTGCATGGGCTCTGCTCCCCCACTAGCTGCCCCCCACTTCTGCTGCAGAAACCGGCCTGCGACAGCCGCCCTCGCACGGGACGGGGGCCAGCCAGAGCGAGCAGCCCAGCCCGCGGCGGGTGTGCAGCACGGGGCAGCGCAGCCCCAGAAACCCAACGGTTTTCATGGAAAATGTCAGCAGCTACAGGGACAGTTTCCGTTGCTCGTGCTTCCAAGAAAACTTGAACCTCGCCTGGAAAGACCAGGACCTTAGGCGAAGGGTGGTGAGGTCCCCACGCTCTCGCACCGCGAGGTCTCTGGGACAGCGATGCTGCCGTGCACCGTTCATCCCGCTCCCTCTGATAAATAAATACAATGCGGATAAATGCTCCGAGCGGGAGCTGGCTACTGATGCCCAGAGCTGGGGCTGCCTCTCCTGCGAGCCTCGGGTGCCCCGCAGCACCGCCGTGCCGGGAGCCCCACGGCCCAGCCCTGGCCCACAGGGCTGGCACACTGCAGCGAGGAGGAGAGGTGAAGGGGGCAGGAGCTGCGGCCCCGTTAGCACCGAAGCAACGGGTGGGTGCAGAGGGTGACCCAGGAAAGCTGATGGGGCAGGACGGCCTCTCCCTCGGCTCTGCTTTCCTGGATGTCTGTGCCTGTGGCCACGGGTCCCCATAGGGAAGGGGACGCGTGGGGTCGGGGAGCATCTCTCAAAGAGGGGCTGAGCCAAAATGCCAGCTGCCCCCTGGTCCCTGTCCCTGCCGCAGCCCCACGCTCGGGAGGGCAGAGCTGGGGACACCACGGTGGCCAACCCGCTGCCGGTGCTGGGTGCTGTGCACCAGGGACGGTCCCCTCCAGGCAACCGTGTGCCTGATCGTGGGGTTTTTGTCTGGCAGGAGCAGGGGTGAAGAGGCAGGGGGAAGGGACTTGCCCACCTCTGAAGTGATGACAGTGGATGCCTGGGGGTCCTGAGCAGGCAGGGGGAAAACACAGACCGTGCTGGGAGCAGGGGTGTCAAGAGCCAAATCTAACACGTGAGTGGCTAATGAGGTGGGAAGACAGGGCCAGGACTCTGCTGCTGCCTGAGCAGAACCTGGGGACCCCCCTACCCTGGTGCGGACAAGGCCAACACACGCACAAGATTTGGATGCAATTGACAGCGGCTTCACGCAGCAGCAAGTGCTCTCCCGGGTAACGCTTAGACCTGGTTCAAAATCTTGATTTTCCATTTCCCCCCCTCTCACAGTAACTTACAGCCAACATCTGTCAGGATCAAAGGGCACTAATGGGTCTTAACAGCACTGAGCAGCCCCAGCTGAGCCTCACATTCTGCCCACAGTCTATTTAAGCTCTATCTAAGCTCATCCCTAGGACTCCCTTCCCTTGGGCTGTGCTGTAGGTGGGCTTCTCCCCAGCCTGGTCTCCTGGACTGGTGTTGGACCTCTATCGCAGCCCCACTGCCTGCTGCTCCCCCTGGGGCTCCCTGGATGGTTCCACCCCTGCTCCATCCCATGGTGCCGTTGATGGACCATCACCAGTTGCCCACTCTGCTGAAGTCCCGCAGGTCCTGGTGTGGGGACAGCAGCAAGAACCTTCCCCCCTGCCCCCCCGAGCAAGTCCTTGGCTGTGGGACCTTTGTGAAATAGGGGGAGAGAGCAGAGATGAGGAAGCGACAAAGGACAGCCAGAGGCTGAGCACTTGCAGGCTGGTGGGAGGGAAGGACTATTTAAAGACATCATCCTGACATCCTCCAGCAGATGTATTACAAGTTTTCAAGCAAAGCTTCAGCAAAGGCTAAACAGCAGGGTAAAAAAAGGCAGTTATAAACAAAAAGGCATCCTTCAAAAAAAAAACCAGCTACGTCTGAGTAAGAAAAAAGCAAGAGGACTGTAAACTGTGGAAGGTTAAGTGTGAGAACATATGGGAGCAAGCCAAGAAAAAGTCTGAGAAACAGCTTCCAAGAAGCATTAGAAGAAAATACAGGCTCTGTCAAACACATCAAGAGCAAGAAGGCTGCTGGGGAGGGCCGGGAGAGACTCCAACTTTAAAAACAAAACAAAACAAAAAGCTCCAAGAAGTTAAAGCTATACCTGAAAGCTACAGCTGCTGTAGTGCCCAAGGGCAGGGAGGTGCCAGAGGGAATGTCCCATGAGGGGAAAAAAGGCTCCAGGGGGGATTAGAGGACCCACAAGCGTCAAGTGTGATGCTGTGAGGGCATGTCAGCAGCAGCTGTATCGGAGAGCCGTGGTGGACACATGGACAAATATGGTCTATTGGAGAGGAGTCAAAGCAGCTCTGGCAGTAGGAAGAGATTCCTTCAGACCTATCGGCCCTCTCTGAAGAGGCCAGCAAGCACGTGCCTTGGGGAGAGTCGGGGGGTACCAGCCCCTTGGGTCTGCAGGGGACCTTGACTGGGCTCTCCAGACCCCAGGCAGCTGCAGCGGGGAAGGTCAGCTCATGGAGAACAGCGTGGGAAAAGTAGCACACAACGCGTAGGGTACATGGTGTGTTTTCCTCGGTGGGGAAGGTCCTAGGGGAAGGCGGGCTGGGAGTGTGCTGTTAAACAGATCACGCGTGTGGGGAGAAGGGGGTCAGTGGCCGAGCAGCAGATACTGCACTGGCTGGGTACAGCACTTGGGGCCTGTTGGGAGGAACTGCAGGAGGGTCTCGTGAGACTGGCAGTGAAGCAGCTCTTGAAATGCCTCATAGATCAATACAAAACAATGTACATTGGACAAACCCAGGCCTAACTCTGTGTATAAAAGTGCAAGTGAAGCCACCTTCAAGAGCGAGGATTTGAGAGCGTAACAGAGGTCAATGAGAGCATCAGCACAGCAGCAGTGGAAAAAAAAAATTATTTAGTATTAGAAAGTAGCATGAGAGTGACAACAAAGATGACAGCAGAGCAGAAACATGTGGATCACATCTGGAAGAGTGCTGTGTGGCTGCAGGAGGTTGTGGGAGACCAGACAAGGTGAGCATGGGGCCATGAGGATGGCAGAAAGCCATGTTTCAAACAAAGAAATTGTCATCAGCCTGAGCTCCTGTTTGGCCTGTGATGGGAATTTTCCTTGCATTTGGGCAAACAGCATCAGCCTCCGGTGGCACAGCTTAAGCTGATGAAGGGGGGCTTCTCTTGAGCTCCCCCAGGACTGTGAATGCCACCTTAGCCCCCACCTAAAAAACAGTACTAAGGCATTCACAGCTGCGAGGAATTCCTCACTGGGTAATTCATGTGTAAAGTCTTTTACCAAGTTTCCTCCTTAGGTGAAGAATCGAGGACCCTGCTGCTGCAGGGAGCCCCCAGCCTCATGCCATGTCCCCCCCTTTGCACCTCTGCTTCTCACCTACCCCCCTCCACAGCCCCTCCAGCTCCGCAGGAGTGGAGGAGAGGGCAGGTTTTGCTCAGCATGGAGATGGCAGAGGCTGGAGCCTGCCTGGGCTCCAAGGGGTGAGAGCAGCCTGGGAAGCACCACCACCACCACCGAGGTGAGTGCTGGGCTGGAGGGGGATGAGGATGAGGATGAGGATGAGGATGAGGATGAGGATGAGGATGAGGATGAGGATGAGGATGAGGATGAGGATGAGGATGAGGATGGGTGCCACAAGTGAGGCAGAGCAGGTACTCTGCACAGAGCCGAGCCTCGTGAGAGGGGCTGGGGCCGGCTGATCTGTGTGTGAGGGAGACGCAGGCACTTGCAGAGGATTTTGGGGCACTTTGGAGCCAGGATGGGTTTTACCACAGAAAGGCAACCGCTTTCCCACCTTTTTCCTCCTCCCGCCACACTTTGCAAATATTAAGATCTGAGGACAACGCATTCCTGTTCCGGGCCCACGCAGGAGAGCAGCTGATGTTGAGGGGTGGGTTAGGGGCAGCCCAGACTCGCCCAGCAGAGAGGTTCTCAAGCCAGTTTGGGACTGGATCAGCACTCACCACCCCCGTCAAGGGTCCCAGCCACTCGCAGCATCCTGCTGAGCCCCTGCCAGCAAGACACCCTTCCCTCCCAGTTTAGAGCTGGGCAATCCCAGTCCCTGTAAGAGATGTCCATCATGGGGATGTGCTGTAGACGAGCCTCTCTGCCCCCGGCAGAGCCCCCCCCGGCATCCCCGCACCGCCTGGCCGCTCTCACCTCTCCAGGCACGTGTGGGGCAGCGCTGCTAATCCTTTGCACATCTTGGCAGGCTATAGTTTTCCTCAGCTGTGAGAAGAGTGTGAGCGATGGCTAAAGCAGGCGGCAGCAGCTCAGTCTGCAGCCCGGCTCCCCCCCCTCGCTCCTATATAGTGCCGGGAGCTGGACCCCCGCCAGCCCCGTAACCAATGCCGTCCGTCCCGCTGCAGCTGGCCCCGGCCCCGACGGCTTCTGGATTTTGTTTTCTCATCTCTAAGCTCGCACAGGGGGCAGATCTGTGGGTTTTTTTCTGGGGTGAGATCAGGTAATCAAATTGGAAGGGCCAAGCTGCTGTTTGAGGGGTTTCAGGAGGCCCCCAGGGTTTCTTCTTAATGACATATCAGGCTCCAGGTCAGTATTTAGAACAGCGAGGTAGAAATGCTTCATTCAAGCAAGGTTTTTTCCAATGAAAAATGTCACTTTCATAAAAAAAAAAAAAAAAAAAAAAAGTGCTTACAAGAATTCTTGCTATTGATTTCAAGGCTGTGGCTAATGTCAAAATATCCACAGCTTCAACTGTGGTTATTGGCTGGTGGGTAACAGTGGCTTCTGTTCCAGAACAAATTTTTTAAGCTTCCATTAAAATGAAAGTAAGTCTTTTAATCATAGCAAATGTTCTGGTTTTATCTGACAGTGATACTTTGAAACCAAAAAGAGTTCCCACTCAGAATTTTCTTATGTGGAAAATCTGGACCCTTTTTCCATCCCCCTTTGGAGCAGTAAAACACACACCGGAACCTGGAGCTGCCCACGATGTGGGATGAGGGGCCAGAGCAGGGACCTGTCCCCATCTCCCCCCGCACGGCTCTATCCCACTGCTGCGCCAGTGGGATGCAGCCCCTTGCTCACCTAAAGCTTGGGTGCTGCCCAGCGCCACGATGTTTCTGTTTGCTTGGGTAAAATCTCTTCGATTGCTCTACTAACTCGCAGTCACGGAGCCAGTGCCTCCCTACAGTTGTGACACCCTCAGCATGACTTTCTCCCAGCCCCAGCCAGGCACCCAGGCACAGTGTAGGTGCAACCCCAGCGAGTGAGGCTCAGCAGGCAAAATCATGGCAAACACAGGGATCTGCCTGGCTCCGAGAGGTCCCGTAGCCAAAGCTCTGACTCAGTGGCTCCCCACAGCCACTCCGCGGGAGGACAAGCTGCTGCTGGAGTGGAGTCATTCCTAACATGGCTTAGCAGCGCTCGCAGTAGAGAGAGTAACTACAGCCATCCTGGATGTTTCCCTCCTGCCTTCCAGCCGGGATGTGACAGACCATCCTCAGCAGGTCACCAGGGGCAGGGCTCGTCGCCCAGGTCCACTTGGCCAGCACAGAGCTGGCACAAGGGGAAAGCCCTCAAACACACACACACAGGGCAGCCACCGCGGCCTCAGCACCAACTCTTTTGCAGCTTGCACAGCAGGACTTGTTCACACCCACCCGTGCCTCTGCCACCCACACCCCTGCCTGTGCAATCACACCCGCTCCGGCACGGGCGCACACAGAGGGTGTGCAGCTCCACTCTGCCTCCCCCTCCTGCTCCACCCCAGTCAGGGCATTCGCCCGGCATCCCGCCCGGGGTGTGGGTTTAGGGCTCACCCTGACAATCTGCCACTTGTCCATCCCCAACCTCAGCTGCCTGAGTGGCTACAAAAACGTGCCTCTGAGTGCCTTGTTTAATAGCCACAGCCCAGAGCTGTGAATGGGAGACCTTGCTCCCAACCCAGCTGGCCACAGCCCAAGGACACTAATGGCCTTAATCGCCCTGACCAGCCCCACCTGCCTCCTCAGCCTTGGGCTATATTTAAGCTCAGCCCCAGGCCCTCTTTCCCCACCTGAGCAGTGCTGAGGTGTGCCTGTCTCTGGTTCCTGGATGGATTTTGGACCTGTGTTGCAACCTTGTCTCCTGCTGTTCTGGGATTATGCAGCAAATCAGCGTTTCAGCAGGTGAGTGCAGTAACTGAAAGCTAGAAGTCTGCTAGAAATTGTGCCTCCCTGAAGAGCTGGCACTGGCTTTTTACTGGTTTGTAATGAAAGTTGAATGAAAAAAGTGCTGCCTAAAACTTCAGAGGGTGAGATGCTCAAATGATGTTTGATTGGGCTGGTTAGAGACCCCCCTAGATGCACCCAAACAGGAGTGCCAGACCTGGGGTCTGGTGGGCTGCCCCTTCCCACTGCCTGGCATTAACATGCCCACCAGCCCCACTCCTGCCTCGCAGAGGGGTAAGGAAGTAACAGCAGCTGCAGAGGGGCTTTATTCCTTCACAGGCTGCTACCGTTCTGCCCTTTTCACAGAGGAGTTGGGGGGAGGCTCTGTTATTAGCATGGAGGTGCCTTGCCCTAATTTGGGGATAGCCCAGGGCCCAACTGCCCCACCTCCCAGCAGCTGGGTTGCAGCCCCCCCGCTCCCCGAGGGACAGCAGCCTTGCAAGCTCAGCAGGTTTGCTGGGCTGGGCCAGTTCCCCTCAGGGCCAAAGAGGGTGTCGGGGCCATTCTTTGCCCGTTTGCTAGCAGGGATATCACCCGGGGTATCCCAAGTGCCAGGTCAGTGCCTTCCAGCTCGGTGGCTGCTTTGAAAAATCTCCTCTGAAGCCGAGGTGCTGCCTGCCGAGCACTTTGCCAGCCGGCTGGGCACCCGGGCACAAAGGGGAGAGGGTGGCAGTGAGGGGTGGGCGAGGGGCACCGGCAGTTCTCACAGCCGCCAGGCTGGGAAGGGCAGCAGGGCCATGGGACAGCATGGGAAACCCCCGCAGCTCGGCTCCCGAGCCATTGGGAACACGGCCACTTTTTCTCATTAATTTTCAGTAATAAAGTCAGTGTCGGAAATCCTGGGGGAGCTCAGATCTGTGGGATCAGACAGTCTGTGTGAACGCTGGCCAGCAGACACCAAGCACCCTATGTGCTCTCCTTCCAGCTGCAGCCGGCGCCGTGTCCCCCTGGAAAGCGGGCACACGGGGGGCACGGCTCCAGCTCTGGACCTCCTGCTGCCTGCAAGAGCCCGGAGCTTTGCCCTGTGAGACCCCATGGAGGAATCTGGTCTGTCCCCTAAACTTTTACCTACTTTACCTCTTTCGGCCCTGGGTGGCCAAATCCCCTGGTCCTGTGGCTCTGCTGTAGTTCGGTGACCGATGCTCTATAATCTCTTTCACTGCCCCAGGGTGGGGGCTTTATGAATGCACAGAGCAAGTTGGGGAAATTGAGGTCTAAAATGAGCAAGGAAGCTTCATGCCAGAGGGTCATAACAAAGCTATACCATGTGCTAGGATTGCAGTTGTGCATTTTAGCAGAGACTTCTCTGAAACACTGAAAAAGAAACCACATACTATTGAGCAGAAACAAAGGTTACACAGAAATAGCTTGTATTTTCCCCAGACCTTTGTCCAGTAAGAAATGTTTGGTTTGTGCATTTAAAGGCTTTAGAGTACTAAGAAAATATCTCCAATAAGAAACTACCCAGACCTTCCTTTTCTTCCCACAACAGCTTAATTTCTTTAAGAGCCCTTCTGGGAGAGCTTTTTGGAGATCCAAGTGCACTCTGAGGATCAGATTGTCTTGTGTACACAGTGGTTGGTTTCCTCTAAGAGCATTCTAGGCTTGTGCCTTGCAACTGCCCCCTCAAAAGCTACATGGAATCTCTCATTACACCAGATTTATCCTGGGCTCTGTTATTTCAAGACTTTATTATCCTTTATAACAACTTGCCTTTTATAGAAGGTAGCCTTGTTGTTTTGAAGTTTCCTGGTTCCCACTGGAACATTTTAAAAATTAGTATCATATTTAACAACATTGGCTTTTTGGTAGAGGGATGACTATAATTCTCACCCAGGTGAGTATTTGGCAGTTCATCCAAGCACTCCTTCTGACAGATTTTTAACCATGTGTTTTGCAAATGTGGTTAAAAATATCTTTTTTTCCCCCTCTTGTGCCTTGGAACGTCATGCAAATCCATGTCCCTTAAGGAATGAACCTAGTGTGAGCTCCTTCAAAACAAATGTCAGTGCAAGAAACTCACCAAGCTTTTCTGTGACGGCTTTCTTTCCCATAGTGCTTGATCACATCCTGTCTCTGGAGAGCTTTCTGCTTCTCACATAGCCATTAGTTTTTATGCCCTTAGGATGTTTTCCTCAAATCTTCTGTAGTCTGCCTTTCAACTGTAACTGTTCAGAGCATGTATAACTGTTTTTTTTACTCTCTCATCTATATGCAATTTTCACTTCTTTTAAGGTTTTGCCACTTCAGGTGTTCATTTCCACTCCCCTGTATAAGCCCATCACATTTAAGGACAGCCTACCTCTCAATTCCCTTTGACATTATGTATTATGCTACAGTTGCTGCTTTTGCTCTCACCAGGATGGTCTGATCAGTAATTACAGCTCCATGACCCCTCATCTGTTACCTTTGAACCGAGGCCTGTGCGCGGTTCAAGAGTCACTTGGGTAACACACCCCGCGGGGTTGCACCATGGCACTGCCTCCGCCAACTTTCTGGGGTCCAGCCTGATGATTAAAATGCTTGTGTAGAAAGGAGGAGACAGGGGATCCCGGCTCCCTCTGCTTCCTACATCCAAGTCACTGACACAGGAGCCACGGGTGAGGTCAAAGAGGAGAAAACCCTGGAAAGCAGCGTTACCCGGAGCACTGGGACTCTGGCCAGCTGGGAATTCAGGAGTCACGCAAGCCCTGCATCCCAGCTGTGGAGCCACTGAGTTCCTTGACCCTGAGCACGAGTTCTGAGAACGGCCGGGGCCGCGGCTGGGACACGGCACTGCTCCTCCTGCCTGCTCCGTGCCCGCAGCGGGGACCCGCTCCCCTTCCAGCACCCCGGCAGCATGCGGCAGGGGCAGGCCCACCCTGGGACACCCACGGGGCTGGCCTCCCCTCTTGCACACGCGCAGCACCCTTGGGAACACGGGGCTGAGCTCTGGTTCACTTGGGTCTGTCAGGAAAGCCCAGAGGACCCTGTGGGAACAGGTGTTTTGAGTCAATACAAGTATTTGCGTGGCGTTCGTGCTACAAGTACTGAAGTGACAGCCCCGGGTCTGAACAGCAGCATCCCTGGAGCTGTCCCTCTGCACCCAGAGCCGGTTGGCGAGGACAGGCTGCGTGTTTGCAGAGACCTACTGCGGGCAGAGCCACCACCCCAGGGCACCTCAGCAACTGCTACGGAGCTTCCAGCAGCTCCGCGACCCGAGCGGCACTGGTGCCAACGTGTGCTCTGTGGGGTGCAGCCCCAGCAAAGGCTGCTGTGCTCTGCCTCTGCTTTCCTGTGTCCGTCCACAGCATGGCAGCTTGCCCCTGCGCGTTCCCTGGAGGGTCACCAAAAGACATGATCTGGGAATAGATGCGGCTGGGTTGGCTACGTACAGGTGACAGACATGATTTCAACACAAGGTTGGCACAAACAGACCAGTCATAGGATTTTATTTAAGGCTTGAATTCAAGAAATTGCCTGGGTTACATAATCTTTACCCAGATTTGCGTGCTGGATCCAGGCTTTTTCCTCACCTGCCAGCCAGCACCTGCATTTTTTTAATCATTGGACAGAATCAGCTGCCATCCAAACAAATGCACCTCTATCTCCACATTAGCCATGCAAGCACCCCCCTCCTCTCCCACGTGTGCATTCGTCCTCGGCCCAGAAGAGCATCTGAATCAAGCCCATTCCTGCCCATCCCTTTTGCTCTACGTGCTCTGCTGTGGCACTGCCTTTCCCAGCTCGTGGATGGCCCTGTTCTCCAGAACCTCCACCTTCCCCTCGCCTGGCTGCAGCACAATGGCCACCATAGCCCTGGCCACCGTTTCCACAGGCACCGAGTAAGCGGTGGGGAAGACCCGAGCCACAAGACCCAGAAACTTCTGGGCTATCCACTCGCCGGGCCGGGACTCCTGGCGCTTGCACAGCAGCACCCTGCAGAACAAGGAGGGAAGGTGGGTCAGGCTGAGATCAAACTCCAGGGGGGGAAGCTGGAGACTGGGCTGCGCCGGGAGCCCAGCCCAGCTTGCTAAAACCCCCATGGGGCTCTGGCAGGGTCCTGACGTGTGACTGAGCTGAGCCCTGGGACACTAAACTCATTTCCCTGCGGTGCTGCCAAAACCAGGATGCCAGTTACTCCCTGGCAGCAAGAGCGCAGTACAGCCAAAAGGACGCAGGTGAGTGTCCCCCCTGCATAAGGTCAAGGTCTGTGGGGAGATAAACTTTGTCCTGTGTCCCCCAACCTCTGCTTTCAACCCAAGCCTCTTCTCCTCTCATGGCATGTGACACTAGCATTGGGATGGGCCATGGGAAACTGCTGTGCTTGCTCCCTGCAGTGCTGGGAAGCAGTTTGTTCATCCAGGAGCTGCATTTGCAGCTGGTGGCTTTCTCCACTTCCCTCCCCAGCCTTTCCATTATGCGTCCTTTTTGTTTTCCTCCATCTCCCACCCCGCTGCCCTGGCAACCTTCCACCTGAGTCCTGTGCCCTCCCCCTTTTGCTGCTACTCACGCTGGCCGGAGAATGGTACAACGGTCAAAACCAACAGCCTGGACCAGGTTCTCCACTTCTCCCTGTCAGAGCGGTCGGGCAGGATGAAAGGAGACAAGGATGGCTGCAAACACCATCCCTGCCGCCCTGAAAACTGGGAGGAGAGAGCTGCCGGGCTGTGGGCAGGATGGCACTAGTGCCAACGGTACAGGCCAGGCACCGGCGGGGCAGCAAGCAGCTTTCCAGGAAAAAGCAGCGTGGGGCGAGCGTCCACGGCGGCCACGCTGACCGCTAGTCAGCAGCGCACCCTTGCAACCATCGCTCCAACTGCAACTGGACGCTCCCGAGGCAGCCCCTGGACACGGTGTCCAGCCTGGGGATGCCGGCACAAGACACTGGCAGCCAGCAGCGAGTCCAGATGTTGGGGGCTGCAGCACGCAACATACGGGGAGGGGGGGGAAAAAAACCCTTTTTTGCGATGGGTATGGTCCCCTGGGAGCCTGTGGGCTCTCCACCCCTGGATAGTTCCTGCCTCACTTGGACACCACCCTCAGCCTCTCTGCCTAGCTGTGAAGCCATCCCGGCTGGGGACCCCTGAGGGTCTTTTCTGGTGGTTGGAAGAGGGAGGTGGGTGCTGCACGCAGTTGCTGTGCTGCTTTGGGCGAAGCCAGTCGGGCGGCTGCCCCTTCTCTCTTCTCCCCCGGCGCCAGGAGGCCCCTCGGAGCCGTTTCTACCTTTTAACAGCTCGGCTCCCGCTTCCTTCCCGGGAGGAGCCCACTCCAGCTGCCCCCTCACCTTCACGCGGAGGTAGAGGAAGCGGCTGCTCCGGTTTGCCCCCTGCGAGGACTGCAGGACGAAGTGTTTGCAGCCGCCCACTCGCGCCAGCTCCGCCGCCTGCGCCACGTAGTCCCGGTCCACGCGGACAAAGCCAGCCTGCGGGGAGCGGGGTGAGCGCGGCGGGGCAGGCAGGGCCCCTGCTCACCCCACCCCGGGGGTCCCGCTCACCTCGCCGGCCTTGGCCCTGGTGGTGCCCAGGCAGCAGAAGCCGACGTCGTGTCCCTGGAAGGCGGCAGCGTGCTCGCCCAGCCGCTCGAAGTCCACCACCTCCTGCTCCTGCGGGGGGGGGGGGGGGGGGGGCCGAGGGTCAGCGCGGCCGCCCCCCGCGCCCACCCCCCCCCGCTTCTGCCCGCCCCACGCACCACGGTCCCCGCCGTGTCCTCGCCCAGGCTCAGCCGGCGCCTCCCGATCAGCGTCACCCTGGCGAAGAGCCGCCGAGCCAGCAGCTCCCGCAGCAGCGCCCGGCCCGTCTCCCCCGAGGCGCCCAGCACGAAGCAGGCCCCGCCGCCGCCCGCCGCCATGGCCGGGGCGCGGCGCCCGGGGCGGGCCCGGGCGGGAGCGGCTTCCGCCCGCCCGGGGTTTGCGGCCCGGAGAGGGGCCGGGCTCCTCCCGGCGGTGCCGGGGCTGCGGCGCGGCACGTTGCGGTTAAACAAAAGACCTTTTTTTCAGCGGCTGGGGGGGGGGGGTTGCCTGGCGAGGCTGCGGCGTCTCTGTCTCCCCGTGGCCTCAGCATCGCTGCTGCTCCCAGCGCGCAGGGACAGACGTCTGCTGGTGCCCCCCCCTCCTGTCCCTCCGCCTGCTGTCCTTGCGGTGGCAGAGCCACAGGCTCCCCGGGGAGGATCCCTGTGCCCTCCCTGCTCAGGCGGAGGGGATGGGACCCCGGAGGGATGCTCTTCCCCCCCCCCCCAAAAAAAAACCACAGAGCTCAGTGTGTGCTGCCGACTGGGATGCCCTGTAGCTGTGTCCCCCAGGCAGAGGGTGAGTCGCAGCCCCCCCACTGGCACCAGCTCCGGACCCGGCCACAGCCGCGGGGCTCGTACCCCAGCGGTGATGGCAGCCCTGCCCGCCAGGAACAGCCTCACCGTGACTCTGGGGTGAAGCAGCCGCCGGTGCTTGAAACGTGAGGGGATGGGGCCCACTTCCTGGGGGACCCTCGCCGGGCAGGTCCTGGGGTGTGCCGGCAAGCACAAGCCCCCTGCTCCAGACCTCTGTCTGGACATTGTCCCTCTGACGGGGACGATGGCAGTCATCCCCGTGGGCGGCCAGGCCCCACTGGGACCCAACCCGGAGCATGGTTCTGGAGCAGGCACCTGGGCACCCAGGGGCTCTGTGCAGCCGCTCCCACGGGTGGCATCAAGGGGCCCCGCGGCACCCTGATCCCGTTTGTCCTGATTCCTGGGGAGGGAGGTGCAGATGCTTTCGGGATCAGCCGGGTGATTTTCCAGCCCGGCGCGTCTGCCAAGCACTCCTCTTGACCAAGGGCTGAGGATGAATCCCTGGTGCACGTGCCACGTGTGAGGCAGGACGCACGTCATGACTGTCACCGGGTTAATGGCCGGCATCCCGCTCCACCTGCCAGTGTGCTGCTGGCACCCACGGCCGTGCGCCCCGTCCAGCCGGCTGCACCCCACGGACCCAGGAAAACCCAGGTGGGTGCAGGAGGGGGACGCTGGGACACGCTGGGGCTCAAGGGTAGTGGGACAAGTGCTTGGGAATGGGAGGGGAACTGTATGGTGCGACAGTGTGGAGTGTTGGCAGCAACGTGTATGGGGCACGTGGTATGCTATAGGGTTTCACGGGGTGGTGGGGACACCTCTGGGGAGGGGTGGGATCGGGATGCATGAGAGCCACGGAGTGTTCCCACTGCTCATGGTTTGCTTCTCCTCCACAGCAGGGCTTGGTGGGGCCGGCCAGGCGCCGGGGTGCCCGCTCTCCTGGCGGCATGGGGGCACGGTGCCGGCGTAGCGCGGCGTTCGACTGCACGCCCCAGCCGGCAGCCTGCTGCCCGGACTGGATGGCGGGGCTCCCTGATGCCCTGCCCCTCTGCCGCCTCTCCATCCCTGGCACCCACGATTCCCTCAGCCTGTTCGGCGGCCGACGCCTGCGGTGCCAGAGCTGGGGGCTGGAGTCCCAGCTGGCGGCCGGCGTCCGCTTCCTGGATGTGCGCTGCAAACTGGTGCGGGGCGAGCTCCACGTCTACCACCTCTGCACCTTCCAGCGGGCCAGCCTGCGGGGGGTCCTGCGCCGCACCCTGCGCTTCCTCCGCGCCCACCCCGGCGAGGCCGTGCTCATGCGCATCAAGGAGGAGCTGCCCATCTTCCCCCAGCCCGGCTTCGGCGCCCGGCTGCACCGCTGCTTGCTGGAGGAGGGTCAGGGCCGCGTGTGGTGCCAGGAGGAGGTGCCAACACTGGGCCAGGTGCGAGGGAAGATCGTGGTGCTGGAGGCGCTGGCGCGGGAGGTGCTGGGCATCCCCTACGAGCAGCTGAGCATCAGCGACGCATGGAACGTGCTCTCACTGGAGCGCAAGTGGGCCCGGGCGCGGCGGCACATGGAGAGGGCGGCTGGCGGGGACCCCACCACCATGCACCTCACCTTCTGCTCCGGCAACGGGCTCTTCACCTGCCCTGAGGAGGTGGCCCGCTTCGTGAACCCCCGCTGCTACCAGCATCTGCGGCGCCGGGGCGGGCAGCCCGTGCGCTGGGGGGTGGTCATCATGGACTTCCCCGGGGCAGGGCTCCTCCGGCTCATCGTGGAGAGCAACGCCCCGCGGGCCAGCAGACACATGGCGGTGGCTCCCGGCACCCCCACGGCATCCCCACGGCACCCCCGTGGCAGAGGGGACAGGGGCCGCCGCCGCGGCTCCGCTCGCTGCCCGTGCCGGTGTCCGTCGGGACGGACGCTGCTCCCAGCCCCACGCCTCTGCCGAAGGACGTCAGTGCCCGTAGAGCGAAAGCGGGTTTCTGGCTCGTGCTGGGCGCCAGGAAGCCTTCGTGTGACAATGGTGTGACAGTGCCAGAGCTGGCAGAGGAGGGTTGGCAGCTGCAGTCGGAGCCGGGCAGTCCAGGGAGCTCGCTGCTCTCCCCTGAGGAGCCGGGTATGGTCCCAGCACGGCACTGGGCCAGCCGAGACCCCGGCACAGCAGTAGGGACAGGTGGAAGGGTCCTAACTTGCCTCCTCAGGCCAGTGAGTCCACCCAAAGTACCTGTCTGCAAAACAGTCCTTTTCCTTTCAAGGGTAAATAAAAATAAAAAGAAGCTAGGAAAGCACTCTCTACGTTGCCTTGCCATTTCCTAGCAGAAAACTGCAGAAAAGACCTTTTGCTTTTGCTGTTCAGCTGTGAAAAAGCCTGTAACCCTCTGCCCGTGGCCAAAGGACAGATAAATTGGTCTTTGTAACCATCCTGTTCTTAAAGCAGAGCTGTGAGAGGTCAGAGGAGGAGAAATCAATTTCAAAGGTGACAACAAATGGTTAGGAACATCCTTCTCATTATTTTAGCTTTTGTTTTTTTTCTTGCAGGGGCTTGCCCCAAGAGTCAGGGCTGTTAGAGAGAGGCAGCTTCAGCAGACACCACTGACCGCATGCACAGAGAGCTGGATGGCCACAGCGGCAGCAATTCAGACAGGGCTACCTCATCCCCGGGGTCACACACCTAGGGATGCTGCGCAGGGCAAAGCCCGGAGGTTTGTGGCAGCGTGGGCAGGGCAGTTTGTAGATCCACAGAAGCAAAGTGGTTGATATGTAAAAAAAGACCTCAAAATGCACATTGTGCCAGTGCCTGCCCTACCTGCAGAAAATGAATCAGTAATGTAAATGGACTGGCAAGTCGCAAGACACAGTAACTCCCTGGAGCAGAAGGATAACAGAAGTCCCAGGGGAGAAAGCATCAAACTGCCCGCTGTGCCGAAGCAGGGAAGTGAGAAAGAGAAGATGAACGCTCGGCCCTGACCTGCCAGAAGGTGAAGAACAGCTTCAAGGATGTTTCTGTCTCAGGGGAAAATGCAGCTGGGCTCAGTGCCTGCTGGAGGGAATGCCACAGGATTTCCTGGCCGGAGGAGAGGACATTGTTTGCTCCGCAGGGCCTGGCCCTGGCTGGAGACACAGCTCTCAGTGCTGAGCGTTTCCATCCGCTGGCCCCGGGTGGGCTGCGGCGGCTCTGCTCGGGGAGCCGGGGGGACAGAGCCCACGCTGCAAAGGGCCAGGTGGGAGGGGAGCAGGCGATAGCGCACAGCCGGTGCCGGAGGTGACAAACAGAGGAATCTGTCGCTGGGCTTGCTTGGTGAGACAGAAGATTGAAATCTCTGCATTAAACCAGACATGTGACAAAACCACTGGTGATATCCGGGGTGCCGGTGTCCTGCTCCGCTGGCTGCCAACACCTCTGCCACCTGGGGCTGTTGCCCCCGTGTCGAGCCAGCGTGACGGCTCTAGGTATCGCACTCATGCTGGGAAGATGGGTGACACTGAGGGAGGGCCAGGCAGGTTGGTGGCCCGTCCGGTGGCCCATCCCATCCCTCCAGGGACACGCAGTGCCGTGGGGAGCAGGGCAGGGCGCAGGCAGAGCAGCTCTGTGGGCTGGGTGGTTCTGCTCTCGCTTAGGGCAAGGGCTGCGGGGCTGCGGGGCTGCCCCTGGATGTGGCACATCCCTGGAGCTGCGCCCCAGCACCCTGCACCTGCCCTGTGCCCCAGCGTGCTGGCAGGGCAGAGGCGCCGCTTGGGATTCCCCGGGTGGGCAGAGCCACTTGTTTACTCCCTACCGCACAAGCGGTGAGATAACTTCGGTGTTATCTACACCCCCAGCATCCTGTTTGGCAAACCCTTATCTGTGCCATGCATGTGTTGCCGCTGCCAGGCACCAGGGAGCCGGCAGGCAGCGCAGGCAGGGTTACCCGGCTGGCAGCAGTGCCCAGTGAAAAGGCTCTCCATCACCGACGCGGCAGGGGAAAGGTGTGAGGCAGAAAGCTGTCCTGCAGCTGAGATCAAAGAAACATCTCTGAGAGGGACTGGGTGGGGTGGGCAGGAGTGATTTGCCCCAAACTACCCCTGCATCTCACAGCCAGGCCTGCCCCAGTGCCAACAGGTCCCTGTGGGTGGGGGGTGCAGGGTGCCATGGCCCATGGGCTGCCTTTGAAGCAACTGTGTCCTTCTGATCCTGGATAATCCTTGCAACCTTCACACGCCCTCCAAGCCAGGGTGGCACTCTGATAATGTGTCTTCCTGTGGCCAAACACTCAAAGTGTGAGAAAGATTTTATCAGGCACTGCTTTCCTCCAGGGCGGTCAGAGGAGGGTGTGGCTGCTCGGGCTGCAGGGCAGGCATCGCGCTGGGAGATGTGCCCAAAGGCTCCCTGCAGCTCAGGGACACCCTTTGGGTCAAACACTCCCTGGGGACCTGAGGTGGGGGGCACCTGTCCCCTGCCTGCGCTCAGGAGGTGCCTCCAAAGCCTCTGCTCACCAGGGCGTTGCAGAACCTGGGGAGAGCCACTTCGGTCCCCAGGGTGGAGTCGGGGGGACGGCGGGAGCGGGGGCTGCACCCCAGCGGGGTGTGGGTCCTCACTGGTACCATGCCATGATCCTGTAAGGGTGCTGCTGAGCCCTCCCCAGTGGCAGGGACGAGGGGAGTGGGAGGCTCCCCAGGAAGGCACCCGCTGTATCGCTGGTGACAGCCGAGCCGGGCGGGTGGTGTCAGGGTGACTCGGTTCCTTTGCGGTTTGCCGGGGGACATTGCACAAGGAGGGGAACAGGCTGTGCCATCATGGGGCGGGAGCCTCTGCTGAAAACAACTTTGTGCCCCGGGGTCACGGCATGATGGTGATGGGGGTGCCCTTTGCACCCCCTGCCCCCCGGGGTTTGCTCCACTGGGTCCTGGGCACTCCCTGGGGACACAGTGCGGGGTGCAGCCTGGTCTTGTCCCCGAGGCTCTGTAGAGGCTAAGCCCTGGGGCACCTGCCCACCTCCTCGTGCAGCACATACAGACCCTGTCACCGTGGGTCCCATCCACACCAGGGCGCTCCCAGCGCCGTCGTGATACTCGTGCAGGCACAGCACCCTGCCCTGAGCACAGCACCCAGCCCTGAGCACAGCACCCTGCCCTGAGCACAGCACCCAGCCCTGAGCACAGCACCCAGCCCTGAGCACAGCACCCTGCCCTGAGCACAGCACCCAGCCCTGAGCACAGCACCCAGCCCTGAGCACAGCACCCTGCCCTGAGCACAGCACCCAGCCCTGAGCACAGCACCCTGCCCTGAGCACAGCACCCAGCCCTGAGCACAGCACCCAGCCCTGAGCACAGCACCCTGCCCTGAGCACAGCACCCAGCCCTGAGCACAGCACCCTGCCCAGCACGCCGAGAGGGAGCAGAGCACCAGCCTGGGCAGGCGGCGCTGGCTGCAGCAGCTGAGCTGCTTCCCCCCGGTGAGCCCTGCGGTCACAGCCTGCGGGTGTGTTGGTCAACCCCGACGGCTGCACAGCACCCTCGGCAGTGGTTTGGGGATGGCATGCGTGGGGCACCCGTGCCCCTCCCCAACAGATACAGCCTGTGGCAGGGCTCTCACGGGGGAGAGCATCATCGTCTCTGTCTGTGGCTCAGGACCAGGACACAGCAAAGGAGGCACATTTCTGTTCCAGATCCCTGCAGAGCCCAGAGTGATGGTGAGGAGCTGACACAGGGAGGTCTCTGTACCTGCTCTCTTGAGCCCCTGATGAGCAAACCTTGTGATGTGCCCTCAGAGGGGTGGCCAGGGCAGGACAGGATGCCCCAACCCGCTGCCTGGGAAATCCCTGCGCTGCTCAGCCTGTAAGGCAAGGACAGGCCCTTCCTTGGTAAGTAGGGCAGCAGGAGCCCAGCATGTGCCCTGCAGCATCCTGAATCCTTCCCAGGGAGCCAGCCTTGGAAACCACCCAAGATACAAAAGGGCTCCTGGCAATAGTCAGCTTTCAGCAGAGCTGATTTGGCTCTTCTCTCCTTCCCACTACATGTACCTTTTTCCACTACCTGCAAAGCAGCCCTCAGTTGCCATACTGTGCCATGCAGGACCCTCTCTCCAAGCCCAGGTACCTAAAGGCACAGGGTACCTGTCCCCACAAACAGCTTTGAACTTGGTCACGTTCTGTCATTCGCAGTGGCAGCCTCTGGGTCTCATCCACCTTGCTTCTGTTTTTAAAACAATAGCAGAAACTATTTCTAGTTACAAAAATAGAGGTGGGAATATTTTTTTTTACTGCTCTTCCCTACCGTGTCGGGTCTCAGCAGAAGTGAAAATGGCAGGGGCACAGCCTGCTCCCACCCGGGGCCATGCACCTGCGAGTACCCCCCTGACTCCCAGAGGGTCTCCCACCGCACAGGAAAGGCAGTTCCCATCCTGCCCAGGTGACCCTCAGTGTCTGGAGATGCTCTCCTGCCCCCCAGCTGCCCCTCAGCCTCTCTGCCCACCCAGCTGCTTCCTCCCTTGCCGTAATTGTGCACCCTCTGCACATGAGCTGCTAGAAAGTGAGCACTCCTGAATTACTGGACATACAGATTCATCCTCAACAATTCCATAAAAAAAAGACAATTGCAGTAAAACATTTTGTAATGAAGATACCCAGAGACAGGAACCAAGTTAAATTTACATTGGCCAAGTATAAAGTCACTGTAGCGGATTATGGCTTTTGTGGGATGGGTTCCTCCTTTTGTCTAGCATGAGTCCCACTGGATCAGCATCAATTTCTCTGGAACTGGAAAATGCACGTGACCTGCAGGGTTCTCGCTTTGGCTTTAGCTGGAAATGAGCAGAGTAATTCCTGCAGTAAACCATGCCAAGGAAATTTTACTTAGAAGTAGAACAGGGTAAGGAAAGATTTATGATGATTCAAGAATGATCCAAGGGGAGGTGGACACAATGAGGCATGTCCCTGAAGCATCGGTGGAAGTTCATAAAGGATATTTACAACTCAGAGTAAGTTCCTCTGGCATGTTCTTGGACTTTTCTCATAAAGACTTGAAGGCAAAGACAGGAAAATACATTGTGTAAGTAACTGTTTATAAACGGTATATGAAGACTCACAGCCAGAGCAAAAAGCCTGCGAGCAAGGAGAGCATCTGGCACAGGAGCTGGGAAGCTGCGAGCCACGCTCCCACTCAGCTCCCGTGGGAGCTCGTCACACCTTCTCCCTCCTCCGTCCTATGACTGCTAGTGTGGGCACTGCAACGTGGACATGGTGGGTCGGAGGCGTCTCGGCGCCCTGGGCTGGGGCTGGACCCTTCTGCACCTCCTGGGGGGCGCGGGCTGGCCCAGCTCATTGCGGGTTGGCTCCCATGGTGGTGGGGGGGGATGCACCCAGCTCCCGTGCCATGGGGCAAGTGCCGAGCTGAGTCCCTCCAGGGCTGCAGCCAGGGCTGACCCAGATGTTCCCCTCCAGCTCCGGGCTGGGAGCGGGGTCTCTGGGGGTGGGAGAGCCCCACGGTGGGGGCAGGCGGGGACGCGGGGCAGGATGCGGGCTGGCAGCGGGACTGGGGCGGGAGGGGAAGAGGCCAGGGGCAGGGAGCGATGCTCTGCACGCTCGGAGGAAGTGTGAGCACCACTGCCTGCTGAGGGACAGTCGTGCCTGGTGCTGCCGGCGGCTGGAGAAGGTGCGTCTGCAGCACCAACATGGTAGGTCCCGCTCCATTCCTTGGGGATGAGTCAGGCTCTGCCTGGAAAAGGGGGTTTGGGGAGGGGAGGGCTGCGGGCATGTGCTGCCAGGAACCGGTGCCGCTGCTGGGGACCTGTGGGACAGACCCAGGCTGCCCTGAAGTGACCATGCACCAGTCAGCGAGGCCGTGCCAGGCGCACAGGGCGCTGCCACTGTGGAGGCAGATGCCAGCCCTGGGTGGGCACAGGGCATGCCCTGGAGTTAGGGGCTCCTTGGGGGTGGATTGCATTGCTGGCACAGCTGCCCAAAAAGTGCCCTTTCTGCAGCACAGCTGTACCTGGCTGGCGGCACCACGTATGCAAGCTCCCACAAGCAACGTGCCTTTGTGGGCTACCAGGACCCACCTGGCAGCAACGTGGGTGCATGGTGGGGTGTGTGAGCTCCCGTGGGACATGCATGCTCACGCCTCCCCCTCTGGCACACAGGGCACTGCTGTGGGACTGCGGTCTGCTGGGAGGAGGTGGGCTCTGGGCTCCCGTGGCATCTGCTACCTGGGCATCGCTGCCATCGCATGGGGTAAGCCGCCTGCCGCCTGCTTGGTAAGCTCAGCGTGACCCTGCTACTGAGGATCCTGCAGGTCCGGGAAACTGGAGAAGGGCAGCAATGTTATTTTGGGAGCTCATCAGACACACCTCCCCTCCATGGCTGCCAGCCCCAGGGCTGAATCGTTCTGGGCTGGGAGGGGGCTGCGTCTTCCCCCGGCCAGCTCCTGTCAGCCAGACCCGCCACAGGACTGTGCTCCCCCCGAGGAGGGCCAGACCACATGCAGGGCCCCCACAGGGTGTCTGCTTCCCCAAATGCAGCATGGCAGCTGGTGCATTGTACCGTGAACTGGAGAAAGGCAACAGCAGCTCTACCCGCTGCCTACGCCCATGCCCGTGCCGCAGAGCTGGGCACGGGTGTAGCCACAGGACCCACAGGTGTGAGGGTTGGGAGCAGAGCTGGGGCAGCACCAAGCAAGGTTAAAGCTGCTAATTGACATCAGGAGAAGAAATCAGAGAAACTAATTTGGTTGTGCTGCCTGTAGGATGTTTCCTTTGCATGTTAGCATTGCACAGAGCAAAACCTGCTGGTGTGCTGGCTCTGTCCCTAGGGATCCTAGAGAGCTGGGTTGTTTTCCAAAAGACCTTTCATGAGTGAGCTAAGGAACAGAGGCAAATGCAGAAATGTCAGGAGGAGGCTGAGATTTAGCTCTGATGGGAAAACAAAAATGCAAAGGCACCCTGAGTGTGGTGGGTACTAAGCACCACCCTGGGGGGAGGCATTGGGGGCTGCCAGGGGAGCCAAGGGGTCAAAAGGCAAGCAAACAGCACCCACCTGGGGGTTCAGCTCCAGGTGGGGCAGAGAGAGGTAAGAGAAGGCTGAGGGGAAGGAGGAGGGATGAGCTGTGCTGTGCTGCAGAGAGGGTGTTACTGATGGAGCTGGAGGAAGGAGTCAGGAGAGCACGTGGAGGATGAGCACATAGCGCGTGGTCCTTCTCGGTTCGGGGAGGGGGTGTGGGAGGGCAGCAGGGTGGCTGCTCTGAGCCGTGCTGGGGAGGTAGCGAGGGCCAGGAGGTGGGTGGTGGGAGCTGAGGATGGGTCAGGTTTCCAGGAGGGATCCTGAGCTGTCCTGCAGCCCCAAACTCCCAAGGGGTGAAGAGGGGGGTTGTTGAAGGCCAAGTTTTCCTTGACTTTAGTTTTGTTGAACGAAGTGGATCGTTTGCTCTTTCATGAGGAAAAACAGACAAATGATGGGAATTTTGATTAGAAAAATGCACAATTATTGACCAAACCAGAACCCTAATTAGGCTTGGAAAGCCCTAGATTTGCATCTAATCTGTGATGCCCAGACTTTTGCTTGCATGACCACAGTGTGATATGCTCTCCTGAGACACAGGGTACCCCAGGCCAGTTGTTTGGAGCAAACTTGATTCCCTGTCTCACTTTTTGCACAGATGGAGATATGATCCCCGTATCACTGCAGTCGTGGAGATAGCTGCTTCTGGGGAGGAGGGAGGAGGCTTTTTTTTGTGGCTAAAACCCTTTGATTGCATCAAGTTGTGGTGAAAAATACTGTAAATAAGAGCAGGGTTTCAGCAAAGTGCCCTTCGCTTCTGGGTGTGGGTTCCAGTTAATCTCCAGTTTTGCCCTGCCTGGTGACAATGACCAGGATGTGAACTTGACTCTTGCAAGACGTTTTGCAATACTGAGTTTTACAAGACTCTTCAGACCGTGTCTGACTCAGATGAGCATCTCGGGATCCAAATGCTTTTGGGGGTGAGGGCATGCTCCTTGCTGTGCCCTGCTTCAAGCTGACTCCCATGTAGAAGTGTAAAGCAAGAAAACCGAAGTGGGTATGCTTCTGTGCTTGAGGAAGGAACCGTGTTTAAGGAACCATCTCAATGTTGGATTTTCCTTTTTGGGAAGCCTTTGTGAACAAGAGAGTGGGGCTGCAGGGCTGGGCTTTCAACCCTTGTGCTGGAGGAGGGGTTGGCATCACCACTTGGGGCTCTTCTCCCACCAGTCGTATGCCTGCCCCATCCCATGCTGTCCTCTGTCTCAGCCTTCACCCTGTCTCCCCCACCTTCCTCATCCCTGTGCTGTCCTTCTCTGTCCCACTTCAGCTCCTTCTGCCATGCCTGATCCACTCAGGTCTCTGTGTACCCTTAGAGCCCCGTTCTCACCCACGCTTATCCCTTCATCCCATCCCCTCACCCAGCTGGTTGCTGGCATCTCTTGGTCCTGATGCCAGCCTTAGCCCACCCTCACGTCCCAAGGGACCTCATCGTGGACCTGGCTCCTGTCCTTTCTGCGTTGATCTCAAACCTCATCCTCTCTCACAGGCATGGTGACACGGGTGGAGGTCGGTGCCTGGACATACCACTACAGTGCTGAAGGGGACTACGTGTGGGAGCAGGCCAGGAACTTCTGCCAGACCTTCTTCACTGACCTGGTGGCGATCCAGAACAAGCAAGAGATCGAGTACCTCAACCAGATCCTGCCCTTACACAGGCACTACTACTGGATCGGCATCCGTAAGCTGGGTGGCACCTGGACCTGGGTGGGCACCAGGAAGGCACTGACAAAGGAGGCGGAGAACTGGGCAGCTGGGGAGCCCAACAACCGCCGCTCCAACCAGGACTGCGTGGAGATGTACATCAAGCGGCCGCAGGAGTCGGGCAAGTGGAATGACGAGCCCTGCAACAAGAAGAAAAAGGCACTGTGCTACCAGGGTGAGCGGGGGGACCACAGCATGGACGCAGATCGGGTGGGCTGGGGACCTCCGCAGGGTGGCTGGCAGCTCCTGATGACTGTCCTCCGTGTGCGCAGCCTCCTGCCAGCCCTTCCCGTGCAGCCAGCGTGGCGAGTGCGTGGAGACCATCGGGAGCTACCGCTGCGAGTGCTACCCCGGCTTCCACGGCCCTGAGTGCGAGGATGGTGAGCCACCCATCCCTCCCTTCCTGCTGGGGATCTCGCCCGAGCCCCGGCGGCAAAGCGGGGCGAGTTCGTTGTGCTCTTAACGGGCTGGCGGTGCCGCGTCTCTCCCAGTTGTGCGGTGCGCCGAGCTCAAGCCCAAGGGAGCGCGCATGAACTGCAGCCATCCCTACGGAGACTTCAGCTACAACTCCACCTGCGTGTTCGGGTGCCAGGAGGGGTTCGAGCGGCAAGGGGAGGGCACGCTGCGGTGCCTGCCTTCCCAGCAGTGGTCAGCGGAGACCCCCACGTGCACAGGTGGGGCCTGCCAGGGGCTGGGGGTCTCTGGGATGCGGTGTTGATGCTTTGGGGGGGGCCAGCTCTGCATGCCCAATGCTGCTCAGACAAGCAGTGAGCCGGGCTTGCCATGCCCCTGCTCTTTGGGGAAGCAGCTTCTGGTGCTGCATGTGAGGAGCAGTTTCCCGATCAGGCTGCGATGGGCAGAGCTGCTGTGAGCGCTGGGTAAGCCCCTGGCTGTCCCAGTGCTCTTGCTCGCTGTCCTGAATCCCACCCAGGCACCAGAACCTTGTGTGGACTGAGCCCGAGGGCAGGAAGGTATCTTGGCACCTCCATCACCCCAAGCCCACCCCAATCTGTCTTGGAAAGGTGCTTGGCATCTCGGGAGTCCTCAGAGAAGAGTGAAGGGGGGCTGCTGTCCCACAGCCGGGGGAAGGGTGTATCCTGGCAGGGCTGGGCTGCCTTGAGCAGGGGTGAGGACCCATGAGATGAGGTTAGATATAAGCTGGGAGGGATAGTCGGGCAGGAAGCTGCAAAGGAGAGAAAGCTGTGGTACGTTACGCTGCGGGGGCAGGGAAAGTCTTCCTGTTGGCAGCTTGAGGGTTTGCAGCCAGGTGCCAGGCGCCCCAGAGAAGTGCTGGGCTTTTTTGCGGGTGTGTGAGAGCCCTTTTCTGTGCTGCTGCATGGTCCATCTGCAGTCTGGCCCAAGGATGGGATGAGCTGAGGTCTGGAGCAGACACAGGACACAACAGGGGACCTTCTGTATTGGGACGCCCATCAGGAGGAGTCAGGGGGTGGGCAGGGTCTCAGTACATATATTAAAAAAAAAAAAAAAAAAAAAAAAAAAAAATCCTGCCTTGAAGTTAGTTCTGCTGCTGACACCTGTGCTGGGTGGGCCCGTGGTCCAACCCGGGGCTTGCTTTAGGCAGCTGAGACCAACAAAGCTTTCTGCAGTCAACAGGCACAGGCACCAGTGATGTGGCTGTCCCATGGCCAGCATCCCCAGTGGTGGCAGGGTCAGGAGGTGGCTTCCAATTCTTTGGAAGTCCCCCCAGGCAACCTGGGTTGAGCCTGCCTGCTCCAGGCTTTTCAAGTTCCCAAAAGCTTTCTTTCCCAGCTTATTGTTTTTTCCTGCTGGCTGTACATATGATTGATTGATTTTTTTTTTTTTTTAATCTTTTTTTTTGTCAAAGAATCAGATGAGTCAGTGGGTTGCCTTTGCTGATAATGAAGCTGCGTTAGCAAGTGTTGCCAGTTGGGTTTACTCCAAAAACGAGCAGAGGGTGCTGCCGCGGCGAGGCTGACAGGGCTGCGGGCACCACGAGGGACGAGGCTGCCTGCCCCGTCCTCGCCTGCCATGCCCCGTGTCTGCCTGCAGCCACCCCCTACAGCCCCAAAGCCACCTGGTGTCCTTCCCCCTGCGGCTGTGACAAGGATGGGGGCAGGTCTCTGCTCCCCTCCAGGGAGGGAGGCGAGCAGCACTGCAGCACTTGTGGTCCTTTGTCCCAGGAGCTGTGACCCGGGGTAGCGCAGGGGATAAACAGGGCTCTGGCAGAGCAGCAACTACCCCTCCCCAGGAAATCATTCATATGGCAGAAAAATTATTGTAACAACTATTTTACTACTATTTTTGAAGAGTTGAGGCTTGTCTGTGTGAGAAAGGTAAGCCAAAGACACATCACCATATATTTGGGTGTGTTTGATTTGGATTCAGTCCTAATGCCTAGATTTAACCTCATCTATTCTGTCTCCGAAACCTGTTCTCCCATTGCAGCTGTCACCTGCCCAGTGCTCAGAGCTCCAGACCGGGGAGAGCTGAACTGCTCCCACCTCCACGGGAACTTCACCTTCGGCTCCACGTGTGCCTTCTCCTGCCAGACGGGGTTTGTGCTGATGGGGCCGGAGACCCGTGAGTGCACGGCCACAGGGACATGGACAGGGGATGCCCCACGGTGTGAAGGTAGAGCTGCTGCTTAAGGTGTCACAGGCCTTGGGCTGACCCTAGGATGTTCTTGGGGTTCTTGGTCCTTTAATTCCAACAGTTTAGTCTCATAGTCCCCAGGATCTTGCATGATGTGCGTCTCTGTCCCTGCAGCCATCGCCTGCCCAGTGCTCAATGCTCCAGTCCAAGGAAAGCTGAACTGCTCCCACCTCCACAGGGACTTTGCCTTTGGCTCCAAATGTGCCTTTTCCTGCCAGACAGGGTTTGTGCTGATGGGGCTGGAAAGCCGTGAGTGCACGGTCACAGGGACATGGACTGGGGACTCGCCACGCTGTGAAGGTAGAGCTGCTGCTAGGGCTCAGAGTGTCACAGGCCTTGGGGTGACACGAGGATTTTTCACAGTCTTTTGGTCCCAGCAGTGTAGCCTTGTAGTGCCCAGGCTCCTGCCTGAAGTATATCTCTGTCCCTGCAGCCATCACCTGCCCGGTGCTCAATGCTCCAAACCAAGGAAAGCTGAACTGCTCCCACCTCCACGGGGACTTCACCTTTGGCTCCACGTGTGCCTTCTCCTGCCAGACAGGGTTTGCACTGATGGGGTTGGAGAGCCGTGAGTGCACGGCCACGGGGACATGGACGGGGGATGCCCCACGCTGTGAAGGTAGAGCTGCTGTTGGAGCTTGGGGTGTCACTGATCTTGGGGAAACATCCTAGTGTTGTCCCAGCAATTTAGCGTCACAGTCCTCAAGCTCCTGCTTGGATTGTGTCTCCACCTCTGCAGCCATCGCCTGCCCAGTGATCAGAGCTCCAGTCCGAGGAGAGATGAACTGCTCCCACCTCCACGGGAACTTCACCTTCGGCTCCACGTGTGCCTTCTCCTGCCAGGCAGGGTTTGTGCTGACAGGACTGGAGAGCCGCGAGTGCACAGCCACAGGGACCTGGACTGGGGACACCCCACAGTGCAAAGGTAGAGTTGCTGCTCAATGTGTCGCAGACCTTGGGGTGACCATGGGATGTTCTCAGGTGCTTTGGTCCTCTCATTCCAGCAGTTTAGCCTTGTAGCCCCCAGGCTCCTGCTTGAATTGTGCCTATTTACCCTGCAGCCATCACCTGCCCCGTGCTTAATACTCCAAACCAAGGAAAGCTGAACTGCTCCCACCTTCATGCGGACTTTGCCTTTGGCTCCACGTGTGCCTTCTCCTGCCAGACAGGGTTTGTGCTGATGGGGCCGGAGACCCGCGAGTGCACAGCCGCAGGGATTTGGACGGGGGATGCCCCACGGTGTGAAGGTAGAGTTGCTGCTCAAGGTGTCACAGGCCTTGGAATGACCCTGGGGTGTTCTTGGGTGCCTTGGTTCTCTCATCCTAACAATTTACTGTCCTAGTCCCCACGCTCTTACTTGAAGTGGGCTTCTTTACCCTGCAGCCGTCGCCTGCCCAGTGCTCAGTGCTCCAGACTGGGGAGAGCTGAACTGCTCCCACCTCCACGGGAACTTCACCTTCGGCTCCACGTGTGCCTTCTCCTGCCAGACAGGGTTTGTGCTGATGGGGCCAGAGACCCGCGAGTGCATGGCCACAGGAATGTGGACTGGGGACACCCCACGATGTGAAGGTAGAGCTGCTGCCTAAGGTGTCACAGGCCTTGGGTTGACCCTAGGATGTTCTCTGGTATCTCTGTTCTCTCATCCCAGCAGTGTAGCCTTGTAGTCTCCGGGCTCCTGCTTGAAGTGTATCTCTGTCCCTGCAGCCATCACCTGCCCAGTGCTCAGTGCTCCAGACTGGGGAGAGATGAACTGCTCCCACCTCCACGGGGACTTCACCTTCAGCTCCACGTGTGCCTTCTCCTGCCAGACGGGGTTTGTGCTGATGGGGCCAGAGACCCGCGAGTGCACAGACACGGGGACGTGGACTGGGGACACCCCGCAATGCAAAGGTAGATCTTTTGATCACAGACGTGTCTAGAAGTGCTCTGTTGTACCAGACCGCTTTCCCCAGCATCCCCTTCCCATTAGCCCCCAGCCCATGGTAGCTCATCCCATGGCTCCCCAGCCCACATGTCCCCATCCCAACACCATCAGTCCTGTTGATGCTACCCCTGTGCTTTATCTCCAGCCATCAGCTGCCCAGTGCTGGACCCCCCCAGTAGAGGCCAGCTGAGCTGCTCTCACGTGCACGGGAACTTCACATACAACTCCACGTGCACCTTTTCCTGCAAAGAGGGGTTTCTTCGGATGGGAGCAGAGGTGCTCCAGTGTGAGGCCACGGGGAACTGGACCAGGCATCCCCCTGTCTGTGCCGGTACGGTGGGACCCCCAGCTCCTCTAGTGCTGGGGGTCCTCTAGCACATCTTGAATGTGGTGGGGGGCACCCCAGCAACTTGGGTGCTGTGAAGACCTTCTGACAACTTTGAAACCTGTGGGGCTGTGGATCTGTTTCAGAGGACGGTGCTCCCTTCTTAAAGCAAGTCCTGGCTTACAGCAGCGGTACAGCTCTGGCACTAGCCAGCATCGTGCTCGCAGGGACGCTCATTGCCCTCCTCGCCAAGCGGCTCAGCAACAGAGGTACAGAAACACCTCCCACAGCCCACAGTCACTTTGGCCAGGGGCTCTCAGGCCAGGGGGTTACAGAGTCCCAGGGAGGGTGGGATGGTCAGAAGAGTTTAACAGTGTGACTGCCTCCACCCATGCGTTTTATTTGCTGCAAGTCGCTTTGGCCTGGCAGCACCTCCTTGGCAGTTTGGCCAGCTGGAAGTGTCAGCAGCCGTGTTTGGTGGGCAGAGCTAGAAAAACACCTTAATTGCAATGGGGAAGGCAGCGATTGTTTTGGTTCCCCTGCTCCGCTCCATCCCGTGCTTGCCAAACCTGGTTCAATATCAAGATGCTGCTGCTGCACTTCACTAAACAGATCTGGTTATTTATTTTCTATCTGTGCTACCCCCGTGGACATCTTGACACTGTTATCAGAGGAGAAGAAGAAGCTCCTAAACCCCACCAGGTGAGCACCGTGCTCTGCAGCAGGGTGGCTCTGCCCTGTGCCCATCACAGCCCCGCGGTCACCCCACTGTCACCCAGATCTGCCCGTGTGAGGCTGCTTTTGTAGGCAGTGGGAGCATCTTTGGGGCTGAGCCAACCCCTGCCCTCCACCCTCCTGCCCTCTCCCCCACGGTGACACCCTTGTGTCTGTTTCCCAGTGACCTAGGATCGCCCGGCATCTTCACCAACGCAGCGTACGACGCCAACCTCTAAGGTGAGTGCTGGTGAGACACTCGCAGCACCCAGCGTGCTGGAAGCCTTCCCCCCCATGCTGCTGCTGGGAATCACGCGTGGAAAGTTCACCTGGGCAGCTATCCTCCTGGCTGGGGTGCTCCCACGTGGGGACACCCCTTGGGAGGGGAAAGGGGGACCCGCTGCTTTCGGTGATGCACCGAAGGGGCGACGCCAGCTCCGGCTCTGCTGTGCTTCCAGCCCGGCCGTGACCAAAACCCACCCCGTCCCCCAGCGCTGCAGACCCACCAGGAGCTGCTGCCGGGGCCTAGAAGGACTTCACGCCTCTGGCTGCAGTCCGGAGCCATGCTGCCGCATGGAGACCGCACCCACGCCGCGTGTGCACCCCGCCCCGCGGAGTGGAGCTGCCTTCCTGCACCGCCCACGCGTCAAGACCTCTGAAGAGCAGCCCGGGGCCGTGGGCCACCTCCATCGCCTGCTGCCAGCCCCCCCCCCACACACCCCCTCACGGAGCTGCCTCTCTCCCTACTGGTGTTCCTCCCACGGCTCCGCCCCCCTCCCCCCCCCCCCCCGCCCCACTCGTGCTTTTGGCGACGGGCTTGTGTCAGCAGGGCCTGAATAAACGCCTCTGTCTAACAAGCCGCCTGCGTGTGCCTGGGGGCGGGTGGGGGCGGACACTGGTCCCGGGAAGAGAAGCCCCGCAGCGGCCGTGGGGCCCCACGCGCGCCTCGTGGGGCTCCCCGCTCCCCCCCCCCCCCCCTCGCCCCGCCGCGTGTCCGCCGGCGGCCGCCGTAGGAGGAGAGGAGAGGGGCGGGGCGGGAAGGGGCGGGGCGCTTCCCGGAAGGAGACGTGGTTTTCGGGAGGAAGGAGGAAGCGATGGCGGCGGCGGAGGCCGAGTGGGAGCCGGCGGGGCTGCTGCCGGCCCCGGGGGGCGGCCTGGACTGGGGTGAGCGCGGCGGGGGGGGATCGGGGGTGGTGGGGGGGGGGGGGCTCGGGGGTGGGGGGGTGGTAGTGGTGCGGGGGGGGGGCTGCGGGCCGGCGCTGAGGCCGCTGTCCCTCCCGCAGAGACGGTGCTGGGCGAGGAGCTGAGCGAGCTGCTGGGCGCCGCGGAGCCGCGGCGGGACCCGAGGGACGACCACGACGTGAGTACCGGCGGGGGGGGTCCCCCGGGGAGGGGGTGGGGGGGCGGCCCTCCGGCCGGAGACCCCCGGGCCTTCACCCGCGACCCCCCGGCGGTGGCTGCGGGGAGGCGGAGTTGTCAGTCCCTTGAGAAGGCGTCGGTGTCGAAGCTAGGGATTTAAAAGCCGAGTTTAAGACGGAGGCGGAGGGTGCTGCGTGCAGGCAAAGCCTGTTGGGGCTGACCGGCTGAAGGTAGCACCCCCGCCACCCCCAAAAAGCAAGGCAGCCGGTCCCTTCCTGCCTTGCATCAGGAGAGAAGCACGGGTATGTTACATCTGCATCCACCAGCGCTGTGCCTTGTCACTTTGCCTGTAAGATGGCTTCTTCTCTTATTGCCCATCGTAGGATTTTCTCTTAAAAACCTTTGCTTGCAGCCTTTATGCATTAATCCCCAATGTTTTTCAGCATCTGATTGGACATACTGATTTTTCCGTCCCAGGGCGTTTGCCTCACGGATTCTCCGCTCTGTGTTCTTCCCCTGCCTTCGCTCTGCTCGCTGCGTCCTTACCCACCTCCAGCACAACCCCTGCGTGACCCAGCAGAGACCTGGAGTGCTGGGAGGGTTCCTACAGGTGTTGTAGAGCCAGGCACTGGAGAAAACATAGGAACAGCTTGACTGTGCAAGGGAAAGGTATTGCCCCTTAGCAGGGCAGCACTGGGTGTGGAGGCTCCTGCTGCACAGCTCGAGCAGTGGGTTTTCATCATGCTTTCTGTCAGTGTGCGCTGATGAGCTTTCCCTTTGTCCTAGCCTGTAAGTACTAATACCCATGCAGTCTGCAGACCTTCTGAGCCTCCCTTTGTGAGGCAAGTTGAGAATGTAAGGAAAGGTAAACCTGCAGGATAGTTTTTAGCAAGAAAATTTTTGCTGTATATTTGTGTAAGTTGGGTATGCGATATTTGTATTTTTCATGTAAGTGCTCATAAGGATGTCACATTTGAGTAGGGAACTGAGACTTACAGATGCATCAGCAGAAAAAATGGAGAATAAAAGCTCGATCATTGTATTAAATGTCATACTGTAAATTATATGTATGAAGTGATTTTAGTCTTTTTTTTTGTTTTTTCTGTTGGAATAAGAAACTGGTGGCCCTGGCTTTAGAAGATGATGTCAGTATATTCAAGTATAGAGAGACCTAATACATACAAACCAGTCCTTGTGTCTTTTTGTGCTGGTAAACTGCTGCTGATGCTGCTTTTGTTTATAAAGTGCTGTGAGATGTGATGATGGAAGAGCATTAGGTAAATCTTGCAGTGCAGCTCAGGGGGAGGATGGCAACAAGTTGCTGAAACTTGTGCTTTATATGAGGTTGTTCAATGCCTGGACACAGAACTTTCGCTTTACAAATTACTGATAACAGTACAATAATTAGTGATGGTCTTAAAGTGACATGCTCCTTTCCTACAGGTCTAAGCTTTAAAAGAAGCCTTGTCTTGTGTATTTCAGTTAAGAATTGCCCCCTTAAGGGCTTTTATCTCTGCGTGCCTTAAGGCAACTGAAATGATAGTTGTGTTGTTTGGTGGTTTGACCCTGGCTGGACACCAGGTGCCCACCAAAGCTGCTCTATCACTCCTCTCCTCAGCTGGGCAGGGGAGAGAGAACATAACAAAAAGCTTGTGAGTAGAGATGAGGACAGGGAGAATGATTCACCAGTCACCACAACAGGCAAAACAGACTCAACTTGGGAAAAGTAACTTAATTTATTGCCAGTCAAATCAGAGTAGGGTAGTAACAAAGAAAAAACAAATCTTGAAACAGCTTCCCTCCAACCCTGCCTTTTTCCTGGGCTCAGCTTTGCTCCCGATTTCTCTTACTCCTCCCTGCCAGCAGTGCAGGGGGATGGGGAAATGGGGATTGCATTCAGTGCATCACCCATTGTCTCTGCCGCTCCTTCCTCCTCAGGGGGAGGACTCCTCACACTCTTCCTTTGCGCCAGCATGGGGTCCCTCCTACAGGAGACAGTCTTCCATGAAATTCTCTGACATGAGTCCTTCCCATCGGCTGCAACTCTTGGCAAACTGCTCCAGTGTGGGTCCCCCCCGTGGGGTGCAGCCCTTCAGGAGCAGACTGCTCCAGCATGGGTCCCCCACAGGGTCACAAGTCCTGCCACCAAACCTGCTCCAGAGTGGGCTCCTCTATCCACGGGCCCACAGGTCCTGCCAGGACCCTGCTCCAGCGTGGGCTTCCCATGGGGTCACAGCCTCCTTCAGGCATCCCCCTGCTCTGGGTGTGGGGTCCTCAGTGGGCTGCAGGTGGAGATCTGTTCCACTGTTGACCTCAGGACACAGCCTGCCTCACCATGGTCTTCCCCACGGCGGCAGGGGAATCTCTGCTCCAGCACCTGGAGAACCTTCTCCCCCTCCTTCTTCACTGACCTTGGTGGCTGCAGAGTTGTTTCTCTCACATATTCTCACTCTCTCTGGCTGCAATTTCTCTCACAGAGTTTTGTTTTTATTTTTTCCTCTTTTTAAATATGTTATCACAGAGGTGCTGCCGCTGTCACTGATGGGCTTGACCTTGGCCAGCAGCAGGTCCATTTTGAAGACTGCTGACATTGGCTTTATCAAACACAGGGGAAGCTTCTCGCAGCTTCTCACAGAAGCCACCTTTGTAGCTCCTCTGTTAATAAAACCTTGCCACACAAACCTAATACAGAATGCGAACGTAATGGCTCGTGGTGTCAATGTATATTGTCTTTTTGTATTGTTTCTTTTTCTGAACTGTCATTTCAGGAAAATGATCTCTATAACTTTCATTTTGATTTGGATTTGATGTCTTGGGACTCAGACCTTTGGAATATTACAGGCCATGCTTATGCAGGTAATTAACCTTATGTATTTTGCAGGTGTGACTATTCCTCCACACACCACAAGAGTGAACTTTTACAACTTAAGGATAGTGGTAACTTATGTGAAACTGTTTGATTCCCTACAGCATTTAGCTCTGTGATGAGATGTCATGCTGTGTTTCTGTAGGATGGGTACAGGTGGTGAGGACTGTCCTACAAGCTAAGCTGTTTAGTATCTTTAATCTCACTGTGTTTTCTGATGTGCCTTGCTTCAGGAATTAAATAGCTGGCGTAGGGCAGCATGTTCTTTACTGATCTCCTGTTGCTAAAAACTTGTACAGTAAAATTTCTTTATCTGCCTCTTGCAGATACAAGTGTGAAGACAGAACCCTTATCACCAGCCACTTCAAATTGTTCGGTTCCTTCTCCATCGTCTGTGAACTCTCCAGTGCAGAATGTGCCTGTATGCAGAAACCTCGATGTAACACAGCTAGCAGCAGTCATTCAGAACCAGCTGTGACACGCAAAAAGCCTAGTGATTTACTTGTCTGACCAACTTCATGGCTTAAGAGGAAACAGCTTATTTTTCCAACCCTTGCAAAACCAACTTCCTTTCAGTGATGTTTTATTTCCTCTCCTGCTGTGACCCATTCTAAAAAGAGCATGTTCAGTTCTGTTTCCTCTGTTGTGTTTATTAGCCTGGTAGCCAAACAAAATGCCTTCTAAAGGCTCTGAGTCCAGCAGTTGTTGGCCTCTGCCTCCTGTCGCTCTGCAGAGAAGTACTTGCTTGGTTTTCAGTGGTACTTAGAATTGACCAGAATAAAACTGCTGAACAAAACCTTTCTCCTGTTTGCTGCAGCAGCAGCACAGATGTGATGAGAGGCAGCTGTACTCTGAACTGCTAGGAGATACTTTTATGTGTTTCTGAAGCATTAATCTCTTGTACTTTCTGTCTGCAGGATGATGTGGACTTCAACTGTAGCTCTGAGATGTCTCCCATCTCTCTCTACAGCAAGAGTTGCAGAAGCCCTGCATCCCCTGAGGGAGATGGAGGGAAGAAGCCTGCTGTCAGCATCACTTCCCGGTCTGGTATGAGATACTGAGTTACTTTGATTCTGTAGATAGTATGCCTGTGGTCTTGCATACGAGTGTTTAACTAACAGATACTAGTATATCCTGTCATTTGAATTTGTGATCAGATAGGTATATTTTTGACAAATATTATTGACGGGTAAAAAAACGCCATACCAAAAGCTGTGTTATTACTACTTGAAATCTTTATTTTATATCTTCTGGTACAACTCTGACTCATTTTCCTTTCCTAGCAAATAATTCTGCAAGAACCCTGAAGAGATGTGGCCAGACAGTGTCCAGGCCTTTGATACAACCCAAACCCCTTTTGCCTGCTGTACCTGAAGCTCAGGCTAACATTGGCATCCCAGCTAAAACCATCATTATTCAGACTCTTCCCACGCTCGTGCCACTGCCAAAGCATCAGCCAGTTGTTAACATCCAGCCAGCACCTCCTAAAGGTAGGGGAGTTGTCTTGACTGAGCCAGGTCTTGGGGATAAATGCTGTGTCTGTTTGGGATGGTCACTAGAATGAAATTAAGCTCGGCAGGTGAAATAGGAGGGGTAGGAGAAAAAAGAGGGGTCCTACATGCTTTGCTGAAAAGGCTTTAGGCTGAGAAGATGGCCTTACTCCTCTCTCATGTAGTCCTATGAGAAACAACACTCACCTGGGCATTATGTGGAATGGAAGACCATATAGCAAAAGAGACTATGCTGACCGCTGGTTGTTGTGGTGATAAGACTGCTGATTTGGAAGGATTTCTAGGGACCCTTTGCTCTGCTCTGCTCGTGGTGTCAAGTGATGATTAAGGTGATCACAGTGCTATTCTGTTGTAACCAAAGGAAGATCCAGCAAAATCAGTTAGGAGGGCTTGAATGAAGCTTGAAGGCTTGAGAGGAGTGATAAAAGCTTTTTTTTTTTTTACCCACCTGAAGCTCTGCCACAGGATGGTGGGAATGTGAGTTTACGGCTTTTTATCTCACTAAGGGGCATTAAATAGGATGTTGTGGAATCTGCTAAAAGTTGAGACCATGTCAGAGGCTAGAAAGGTTGCTTACAGCTGCAAGCTGGTTAGCAAGAGGTAAGTGATTTCCTGTCCACTAATAATTCTTCATTCCTCCATTTGCTCTGTAGCATTTCTGAAGTAGCTTGAGCCTTCATTTCTGAATCCAAAGCATTATTTCACTCTTCAGTCTCAGGCAGTAGGGACATCCATTGCTGAAATTGTCAGCTGCAGTTGCTTATTTTCACCAGCTGATGGCTGCAGACTCTTGTGGTTGCCTGCACAGGCACTGAGGCGTGGAAGGAAAAGGAGACAAATACTTCAGGGCATGTTTCTAGAAATTATTGCAGTAGTGAAAAATTTGTCTTCATTGCTAATTGCTCTACCATCAGGAGTGAAGCCAAAGCTCGAGACGCTGACATTTGTTACAACATGCCTAAGATTGTTAGACTGCTTAAAATACAGGTCAGCACAGTCAGTGTGACCTAATTCTTATTCCTTCTGATGTTCCAGCTGATAAAATGCCATCTGGAATAAGGAATGCTGGGGATGTGGATTTTTTTGGATATCAGTATAGTACTGTGAAGATCAGCTTCTCCTTTTCCCTGAAGAAAAGTCAGGAGAGTAGTTTCTGTGAGGCACTATAGAGGAAATACTTTTGGGAAAGTATTTCCATGCCGTGTATTTACTTTATCTGATGGTGTGTTTAGAAATCCTATTGTGCTGCTACCATAACAAAAAAAACATAAGGATCTTTTTCATTAATCAAAATCCCCTGCTCATGACAAGTTGGAGCTACCAGTTTGAAATACACCATTATCTTCAAAGGAGCATGAGGACTGATATTTTTACAGTTCCTTTCATAAAAGTTTAAGGAAGAAAGCATGATCTTAGAGCATCACATACTCTGTATATTAAAAAAAAATCTTGAAATAATCTCAAATTCATCATTTGAGGGTCTTAAATAGGGAAATACTAATTTACGATGTCTTCAAGATTATCTCTGCAAGAGAGGATATCTATTCCTACACCTTATACATAAAAGATCTTGGCTCTTAGGTAAATTACTCCATTTTTCACCTTCCGTAAGGTTGGGTAAATGCTGTAATACATTGTTGTGCGTTTTGGTTGGAATGCTCAGCTGGAACGTGCTGTTTCTGAAAGCTGGCGAGGTCATCCAGTTACAAAGGATTAGAGAGACGTTCATGTGTTTTCAGACAACAAAATATTATTCAAGCACCTGTGTGAGTTAAATGTAGTTGTTGGACTGAAATTTCTTGGAAGTGACTGTTTTTAATTCCATTTCAAACTCATGTCAAAATTACCTCATTTTTTCCTGCTTGCTTTTCTTTAAACTCTGTTCCACTTGTGGATAAAATGTCTTACATAAGACATTTTTTTTTAAAAAATTGGTCTTGTCTTAGTGTTAATTGAGGCATTAACTTATGTTTTGAAAGTGTAACTTGCATTCTTATTTCTCATTGATCGTCTTTATGCTGTTTCTGAATTGATTTGTATAGTATAACTCACTTCTGTGTGGTAAGTTTTCCACCAAATACGGCAGTAGAGATGGACAAAAGGGAGGGGGATTGAGATAAACTGGCTAAGTTCTTTGAAAAAGTTGCTCAAAGTGCATCAAGAGTTAGCAATACTGAAGAGTAATGTTTCTAACCAGTGTTGATTTTGTTAACTTTGAAGACCTTTTGGGAGAGAACTTGATTCACTGGATCCCTTTTAATATGTGTAGTTTTGGTTTGCAGGATGGATTAAGAGCCCTGCAAACTTTTGAGCTTTTTTTTTTTTTTTTTTATCCTTCTCATTCCTATCCTGTGGAATATACTAATGCTGTAGAATTGGTCCTGAGATAAATAGTGCAGGGCAGGAGAGGAAACAAAGCTTTCTACCTCCTATATAGTATTGCCCTACAAACTGGTCATGTACAGATCCATTGCACGCCATACACAGAGCACTCTTGTTTGTTCTTGTGTTCTAGGTCAATCCGTGGTGCTCCCCCAGCCTGCTGTGGTACAGCTCCAGGCTTCTGGGGTGCTTCCTGCCTCCCAGCCAGTCATTGCCGTCACCAGAGGGACCGTGCCACTTCACAATCATACGGTGAATGCGCTACCTCCAGCTGCTGGAAATGGCTCAACAGGCGGCAAAATGCCAGTGACTCAGCCCTTGCTTCAGAGCACCACACCAGCCATGGGGCTGGATGTAAGTTCTGACTGTGTGGTGATAGCTAATGACCAAAGCTTGGAAGCAGTTTTCGGTTAGCTGCGTGTGGGGTATAATGGGACAACCGGGTCACTTTAAAGTCTTGGGAACACAGAGGTGTATTTGGGCTTGTCTGATAGGATTTCTCACAGTAAACAGGGAATTCGGCAGCTTGGCAAGGGATGGGGAGGAACAGCTTCATATCTGCTGGCCTGCCTGGAGTTGCAGACCAGGTATGCGAGTATTATGGCAGAAGACAGTGCTGATATACTCTTTCCTTTGCTTGTCTTCTTAAATGCAAGCTCTCAATGTTTTGAGCTCTCTTACATGCAGGAAGATTTGATGTATCTGATTTTTGATTAGTGCTAAACCATTTTTCTAATACATATAATAAATACAGTCCTTTGGAAGTGTCAGCAGTAGGCCTGGTTCATTTTCCATCCCCTTTATCTCCCCAGATTTTACTCATTATTTGTAGAAACTTCAGGTATTGAGTTTCAGATGATCCTATCTCCTCAGGCTCCCTTTTGAGCATATACTGAATGAATAGAAAAAAGGTAAGCACTCAGAAGTCACATGCGCAAATAAATAGTTTTTTCCACAGAAGCTCACAATAAGCAGTATGTGTAAACAGAAACAGCTTTTGAGATGTGGGTTTTTTTTTTCATCACTTCAGCTTTGACATCTTAACTAGCTAGCAAGCGGGGTGTTAACTTGATTTAGTTCCTAGCAGTTTGGATCTGCTTTGGTTGCATTTTGTTTTTCAAATGAAAGCATGGTTGTGGAAAGTACTGAAGCTTCTTGTTTGTGGCTTTTAAACTCTCAGGGTGTTGTTCTCCAGTGTGGTTTTCCAAGCACAGTTGTCATGCGCCGGGGGTCCTATCGCATCTGTCAGTGTGGTGGGGAAGACACTGGTGTCCATTCACATTTTGCAGTATAGTCACCTGCTTATTAGCAGCACAGAACACTTTCTTAAAGGCGTGTGCCTTCTGGCTTTTTTGGGGGGATGTTGTTGTACCGTTTCCTAGTGTCTAAAGACGGCCACTCGTGCGTAATGTGAAATGTTCCTCTCTATTTGTGTTTGTGTGTGGGCTGCATTTTTAAATGAAAACGTATTTGCTACAGGTAATTCAGCAGCCAGACTTCAATGGAAAGCTGATCTTGAATTTGCAAGAAGCTGACAAAGGTCTGTCAGCAGACACACCAGTTGAATGCTGCATTTTTAAATGATAATTGCCTGCCATGCAGAGCCAAACTGAAGAGACCTGTCAGCAGTCATTAGATTTGTGACTCCCAGTAATCAGGACTAGCATGGCACTGTGCCATTGTTGGAATATAAGGTTTAATTGACAAAACCCTCTTATTGTCCTCACGCTTTAGCTAGGGTAATATTAGAATAGCTGTTTGTTTTGAACCATGGTTATGTGGATATTTCCACCGGGAGCTTGTTTAGGGAGGCAGTTTTTAGACTTTGTATCAGTCTAAGTGCAGCACATCTTACCTGTGTTTATGGGAAGATGAAAGAACAGTTGCAACTGCTCTTTGGCACATACTGTGAAATAGCACTTTGAAAAAGAACAAGTGTTTCAGGATACAGCTGAGGGTGCCAGGGTTGAAACATCTTGCGACTGCCATAGCTGCCACATGCGGCGCAGAGAGCTGCACAGCAGTAGCCGTCACTTGAGCTCTGTCACACGTGGTTTTGGTTGCTAATCTAAGCAGATGTTGCAGGATAGAAAGGAACACTGCAGAACTTTATTTTTGGCTTAGGGGGGATAAACTGTTAGCTTAGCACTCATCCCTTCCAATGGATTAGGCTGGGAAGGACTGAGAGCCAGCCGCGCGTGGGAGGCCCTAGGGTGTGCGTGTCCTGGCGGGTGAAGAACTTCCCACCGGGAAATTGGACAAAAGAAACGCTGCCTAAGCAAGCTGCTCTTTCGGTTGAAGGAGAGTGGCTCTTAACTAAGAAAGCACATTGCCTTTCCTGTTAACTAAATGATATTGGGACATAAACGGTAGGTGTGTGAGGGAATTCAGTTTAGTTGTGTCCTTATAGGGCCTTTCTCTCATGTTTCCATTCTGTAGCGAGAAAGGATTTAAGTCTGCCTTCCAGTTCTGTTGATAAAAAAATACTGAAAATTTAGAAAAAATCAGATTATGCAAAATTACTTCAAATTAAGTGTGGATTTCTGTTAAAGAATCCTGTTTTCAGTGCTTTGCGTTGGGTAATTTTCACATGAAATAAACTCATTAGGCAAGTTGTGTTCTGTTTGGTTAGAGGCAAGAAAACCCAGATCTTTTGTAAGAACAGAGAAAATCTTGCACGGGTTTTGTATTCCTGCATTTAAGAAGCATCTTCAAAGACAGCAGCTTTCATAAGCTGAGGTGAGAAGCCAACGGATGTAAAATTGAAATGGTTTGTACTTTCAGCTCTTTGTTAACTTTCCCAGTGTGTGCACCAAAAACTCTGGATGGTGAGAGACATTCTTACTGCCTTGTGCTAGAAATAGAGCTTGCATTGGAATGGAGGTTAAATTTTGCTCAGAACTGAGTTTTCTTTGAAAGACTAAATTGAGGTAGCAGTGTTTATTTGTAATGTGCATGACTCTGTAAAGAATCTGAAGATGGAAGACAATCTGAATCCAGATAGTACTGTTTGAAGCAAAGTTTTGCAATGAACCTTTCACTTCTCCATATTTACATCCATCTTTTTTGTGTGTGTATTAGTGGTTGTGTAAAAGTTGCATCACTAATGAAGGTTTGTTTATAATAACAGTGTTTTCCCTTTTTGTCCTGTGTTGCCTGAGAACCAGAAGTTACTATGTTGAGTGATAAATTAATACAATGTAACCTACGAAGAGGGAATCTGCAAAAGAAGTTAGGAGAGGTGTTTGCTACATTTAATCTTTGTTCAGCACTTGTGTAAAGCAGTGTTGCTCGGGCGGTCTGACATTATGAATTAGTTCCTCTCTCTCTTCTGATTATCAAAATGCTCAAGCAAGGGGCGTGTTTATCTTGACACCAAGCTAGCTGTACTGTCATACTGCCTCCAGGTTCAAGCCCTGTTGCACTGTTTCACACAACTCTTTCCATTTCCTGCATCACGTTTAGGTAGGATCAGGTGTGCAGCTGGGGCTTATTCCCCAAGAAAAGCCAGGCAAGTGCTAGAGAGTTGACCGAGGACCTTAAACTGTTTTAGGGATTGCTAATTAAAACAAAATAACTCGAGGGCATGAATAGTTGGGTTTTATTTAAACAAGCTTAAGAAATTAGTGGAAGTGAAACTGGTGTGGCATTGACTGAAATGCAATTATTGCTGGGTACCATGAATCACACTGGGGAGAGCTGCTGTTCCTGACAGCGTTTGGAGAACACAGAGTAAAGGAGGACAGTTTAGATAAATATCATCTGAAATGTAGCTGGTAGTGTCTGAAACAGCAATAGATGTACCTTAGGATGTACTCCAGCTGTACAAGCACTGCACTGGTGCTTTAGCTCCTTGTGTTCTCCAGGGAGGCAGATAGATTTGCCAGAGGTTCCAGACACTTAGTCAAAAGCTATCCAGTAGTGAATAATCCTGAGCAGGTCTGCAAACAAGAATGAATGTAAACAATTTTGTCTTCTCTGTTTGACTTCATGATGCAAAAAAAGGAATGTGACTACTGGTTTGGAATATCATACAACTGAAGCCAAAGCTGCTGCATGAACTCATTCTTTACTATTTCATCTCTGGACAGATGAAGTGATTCTGGCCCTAAATTGGTGTGTTCTATACACTGCAGTCCTTGGCTAGCCAGAATTGTTTTTTTTTTTTTTTTTCTTTTCCAAAGCTTTTATGTCTGCAGAAGTTTTCGTATGTTAAGTATTGCAGTACTTAAAAAATTCAAGAGAAGGCTTAGTGTTAATGAAAATATGATAAATTTTTTTCCCTTTACACTCTCTGCTAAAGAGAGGACCTGGAGTAAGTACAAACAGCTTCACTTTCACAGACTTTTGTTGGTGGCAGCAGACTAGACATATAATAAATGATCTTTACAGAAAGCAATTAGATTAACATGGAGACAGCCCATGGAGACAGTTAATGCACTGTAACATGTTTTCTTAGTCTTTGTCACCAGACTGCAGTATCATGAAGAAGAACGACTTCTTCAGACAGCCTGTAACCAATTTTTCTTGCAAACACCAAAGCCCTTGAGCAGCATATTGCCTGTGTGTGGGTATATGCAGGAAGAGAGTCGGAAAGTAACGGTTAAGGTTCTTTTAAGCATCCAGACCTTAACGAGAGCACACTATCTGACGTTAGTGTTACTATTCTGTGGCTTTTTTATTTTTTCCTAGACTAATACTTCTAGAATAGTTCTCATCTTTTCTCTTTAGCTTTCATGCTCTAGTAGATGCAGGTTACTCCAGTACATGTGTTGGTATCTACTGGAGGATATTCTGTTCTGTGTAAGATACAGCATTCAGCTCTCTTTCAATGTAAACATCATTAAGGCACATCCTGTTGTAGCTTAATAATGTGATGGAAGTCTTCTGGTTTTAATAAAAACAGAGTTGCTGTTGCTAATCTGTGAAGGAAAGGAAATCAACAGAGTAGTATTTAAATTTAGGATTTCAAGTAGTTTTGTATAGCTCTGCAGTATCAATCATCATTATCCTTGTCAGCAGCAAGATGCTTTCAGTCTCAGTCATCCCACTCAGTGCAAACCACAAAGTAAGTAGGTGGTAAAAGATGATAGACTGTTCCTGCTTGGAGAAAAAAAATCAGAGTCATCAAGACTCTTGGAGGATGGGGAGGGGTAACTTTGAACTGTCCCGGTCTGGTCTTGCAGACTGAATGCCTGCTGGTGGTTGGAGTGAATTGTGTGCCCTCCTGGAGTATATTTGCTGGTTTAGCTTCATCCAGAAGGATTCCAGTTTGTGTGATCTGCTGGAGACTGTCATGTGATGTGAACCAAAGCATATTAAGTGAGACAAAGGGGAAATGTGGATCAAAGCCACATGCTTCATCTAAATTAAAATGCTAGTATAGATGCACCCAGAAACTGCATTTAAGCTGCCATGTAAGTGCTTTGATGTACATAGAATGTGCAATCTCAGGTCAGCAACAGTATTCAAAATCTAAAAAATTATATATCATAGCTGGAAAAGGTACAGAAACAAGTGTAATCAGTGTGTAAATGGCTTCTATTTAGGACAGACTTAAAAACCATAGGACTTTCCAGTTAAGAAAAACGAATGACTGATTGTAGCCTATAAAATGGTGTATAATAAAGGTGAAAGACATTCTTGCTCCCTTACAGACCTGCACGTGTGCGTTTTCTGTCTTTGTGATTTGATTGATCAAGTCAAATTGTTTGAGTATGCATTTTGTGTCCCCTACACATAGAAGGTTGAGAATGCATGAGAAAACAGAGTCAGTGCAAGATGTGGGGTTTTTTATTATGCATGAGCTATAACTCTTGGAGGTGTACCGTGATTCCTAGTTGCCTTTGTGCTGAACATCTCAGCTCATTTCAAGTAAAGTGCAGGAAGCTATTTATGCAGACTTTTGACAAAGTAGAGGAGCAGAAATTATCCTGGAAATAGAGGCACTTTTTAACTTGTGGATCATTAACAAGGCTTCATATTGTCTGCCTAGGTCAATGTCTTGAGACGGCAGCAGCGCATTATCAAAAACCGGGAGTCAGCGTTTCAGTCACGGAAGAAAAAGAAAGAATACATGTTGGGACTGGAGGCAAGGCTGGAGGCAGCCTTATTGGAGAACGAGAAACTCAAGAAAGAAAACAGCACACTGAAAAGGCAGCTGGATGAAGTAGTATTAGAGGTAAGAGATTGTGATGAAGATCTGACTTTTTATATATCGACAGTTGCTCAGGTGGAAGGCACCTGGTGTGTATTCATACATAATTAGGCAAATATAAATCTAAAAAGCAAGCATAAATTGATGTATTTAGCTTCTAACATACTTTTGCATGTCTGTGCCCCTATTTTATTGCAAGTCTTCTCTGTTTTTTCCTGTCTAGAACCAGAAGCTCAAAGTATCATCTCCAAAGAGAATGACCCTGTGTGTGATGATGATACTGGCTTTCATAATGTTGAATTATGGTCCATTGAGGTAAGTTGCCTAGGTATTCCTCTTTGTATAGCAAGTTTGCTATCCTGTGATTTTCATTTGAATCTTTAACACAGTCAAGCAGTGATGTGTTTAAACTTGAGCTTGAAACCTGACTTCTGTCCTTTACTCAGCTCCTGCATAGGGGAAGACCCATCTGTATAATGGTTCCTCTTTTGGAATTCTTTTGGCAACAAGAGCTAGATCTGGTATTTTAATTTCTCTCGGCTTGGCATTTTGCTAATCAGTACAGCATACAGCAGTAGGCTCCATTTATACCAGAAGAGATAAAAGAGCTGTGTTTAGAATCCTTTTAGAAAGAAAGTTGCAGACTTTGAGAGCTCATCTGCTTTTCTATACTTGTGCTAATCTCAATAGCTCTCAGTTTAAGCTGCTTCCAGTACCCAGTGCAGGAAACCCCACTCTCTGTTCCAGTGTTTTGCAATCCTGACCATTAGATGTGTCTAGCAGCAATCTTCCTCCTAAAGTGTAAGCCCTGTATTACTTGTCTTCTAGTTCTGGTGAAGATGATGTTCCCTCTCCTTAATTAGTTGAAGTAGTAATCAAAAACCTCTTTTGTTCTAACTGTATCAGTGGGGCATAGGAACCAGAGAGCAGGAAGGAAATGCTGTATTACTTCCCAGACACTTTTTTCCACAGTTTTCTTTATAAAGGAGACTAAAAGGGGATACATCTTGCACATATCTGTTTATTTAATGTAGCTTTGGAACATAGAGACTTTTTGTATGAAGCAGTTCACTTTTTCTTAAGGGGAGGATATTTCAGTAGATTCCCAGTCAGGAAAAACTCCACTTGTCCTCAAAACTCCAGTCAAACTAAAGGAATGGGATGGGATAAATCTAGAGGAAGACCTTGTTTCTGACTGTGATAAAATTTTATAATGTTGGTGTTTGTATTTTTAATAATAGAAATTTTGCTGAAGCTGAAATTACTTTTGAAATATTGGCACTTGTTGCAAATACTGTTTGTTTCAGGCAGTGAAATACAGATGATAGTTTTACTTTGATGTGGACGATTTTAAGGTAGACCATTTCTTAGTGCATTTAGGGTTTGTAGTGGGATTTTTAACTATCAGGCAGAAAAATCATCTTCCAGATATTAAGTGATTTGTACATCCCATTTGTATTTGCAAACATTACCATTCGAGAGACACTGTGTGGGAACTAACAGAACCAGTAATCTTTCCAAAGCTGTGAGAAATTTTAGTTGCCTCCACATTAGTGAGTTGTTGAAATGCATGAAGCTCTTGTTAGTTTTGAGAGGCTTGGAAACATACAGAAGATGGGCATGAAGTCTTTTTCACCACAATGCTCTAAAGTTACTAAGTTCTCATCCTAAGAAATGAGTAAGGTGTTGAGCTTGATGACAAGGAACTGCTGTCCAAGTAGACTGACAGATCACTTTGTGTTCGTATCTTTGCACCAATCAGCAACTATGGAAATGTGACAAGATTAATTTCTTGACCTGTTTGATGTTTAATAAAGTAGATAGAGCAAAAAGAAATTCTTGGATGGTCTGGCTGGTCATGCCAGTGTAATTGTGCCTGAACTAGGTGGTCTGCATCAGTACTGGATTTGGGCAGGGAAGAGAAATGTAATTGCAAATTTGCAAGGAATTTCTCTTATCTTTCTGCTTTTTTTCTTAGCAGAATAAGTGCTTGCACTGAAATTAAAATACTAGACTGAATCAAGGTGGTGTGAATGTTGATTGTGCAATGCCCTTTGGAAGGCCCAGAATGTGGAATGTATAAACCATTACTTAAGATTTCACTCCTCCCATGTGCATTTTCTTCCTTTTATAGAGGTGTCACTGGTAGCTCCATGAACGTGATAGTCATGATCACTGTTCTGCCTAGACCTTAACAACAGAAGCTTCCAATACATATGATGTTTTCTAGTCCCTGCAACTTTTCACAGAAACAAGCAATTTTTTGTTGTAATATCCATGCTAGCTTATACTTCAGCAAAATTACTTTTTTTCCCACAAGTTAGCTATCTATGGAATATCTAATTTCTATGCAGTGGTCAACTGGAGATAAATATGATTTCAGACTTTCCGACAGTGTTGCCATTTCTTCTGTGTAGGAAGAAATTTTACTTGCATACCTGTATGGAGGTGTGACAGCATTCAGTCATAGGATGTTTTGATTCAAAGATATTATCAGTGAATATTTTATTATTTGAAACCAATGAACCATTGCAAAGAGAAAATAACATCCAAAAAAGCAAAATAATGGGAAATTCACCCCCTGAATTCTGTAGCAGACTTTGAAATTCCCTTAGCTGACCTTATTGTAAGGTGCTTCTCAGTTTCTAAATTGGAAGCAATAGGATTCTTTGAAGGCTAGAAGTAAAACAAAATAACAGGTATATAGGTTTTCTCTTTAGCTGCCTATTTCTGTCAAATCACAGAAGGCAGGAAAGCGCTTGGGTTGTCTGGGGAGAGGGGTGTGAGGCTGAAGCACAAGCAGTCCTGCACAGCCTCTGGAGGGCTGCAGTGCAGTGTTTGGGCCCTTAGCATCCCACAAAAAAAACATCTGGATGGTTGGTGGTGTAGTTAGTTTGATGTTTTCTTCTGTGTTAGTGGATGTGTGTTGTGCTAGCACTGGTTCGCCTGTAATTTTGTTTATTGATTTGTCTTAAGTCTTGCTGACTGTGTATGTAAGTGGTGGGATGTTTGTCATGTTCCATAGAGGACTCTAAGGCTGTGCTGTTCTGCTGTTTTAAGATTATGGGAAGCAGTCCAGGATGTGGCTGCCCTTGGCAAAGAAGTTTAGCAGATAAAATTATTCTACTGACACATTTTTTTCATGCTGACAAATACACTGTGTGTATGGGTGATCTGTAACACCGAATCTGGGAACATGGGAGTGGGACTGAAAGTCTGGTAGGGAAGCTGGTATATCGACCCAAGAAATCTGGTTGAAAATATTGGAGGGAAAGTCTAGTCCAGTCTATGTAATTGCCAACAATCTTTCCAGAATATCCTTCAGTCTTGGACATGGCACCATGTTATCTCTGAGAAAAGAATGGAAACTGAATATAAATTGAATATAAAAATTGAATATAAATGTGAATTGAATACTTTCTGGTAGTGAAAGTGGCTTGTATAGAGTTAATGGTAACTCTGCATTACATGATACTGTGTTACTACGCTCTTCTGGGTTTGCTGATAAATTTTATAGGAAACAGAAACTTTCAATTATTAAAAGCAAAAGTAATTTAGCAGGAATTCTATTAGTGTACGTTTCTATTTTATCTATTTGCTTTATACCACAAGAAAGGTGCCCGGGAATTTCCTATCTGTGTGTCAATGAACTATTCTCTAATCTTTGTGAATTATTTGGATTTGGATTTAACAACTATTTAACAGTTCCTTTTATTATTATTTAAGAATGATTGGTGAGGTGTATGAAGGGAAAAGGGTACATGTTGATTCAGTTCCTTGCAGAGGTTACCCCTTTGCCCTAGTCTTACATACCATGAGGTGCAAGGCAGGAATTGGCAACCCACAGAGTTTGCAGAAAAGGCAGTGAGCACGCAGACCTTGGCACGCAGCAGGGACTGGAGCTGGGGCCACACCACCTGGAGGCAGGTATCTGCGGGGGGCAGCGTCTCCTGCCTTCACATGTGCCGTCTGTGAGAGCCAGCATCAGTCAGCACGGCTGTGTTCTCAGCTGGCATGGCACCCCTGAAAGCTTCCTGACTTCTGGCATTAAGAAACACCTGGTTATCTCTGCATTCTTTTTATCGCTTACAACATGAAATCAGAAAATTTCCAAGCTATTACAATTCCTATATGCGTTTTTTTTTTTTTTTTTCTCCCTTGTTTAATTTCCACATTTGTGTCAGACTGTGCCTGGGTAGTAACCAGATCTGAAAATGTGCTAAACAAGCACAAACAATGCTGAAACAAATGGAAACCAAGCACATGTTCTAGTCAAAACAATCCATGTATTTATTCTGGGAATATTTTTCTTTTGTTTCTCTTCCCTGTTCCTGAATATAAATTGTCTGGTGTGCTTATTTTTTTTTAATCCAAGTCCTACATGTAGTAGTAAAATATTTGCAGGAAACTAACCCAACTAATGTATCAAAAAGTAGGGAAGGGAGAAGGATCACAGAAGATACAAAAGGTAAATTTTCTACATCTCTGCTTCTTGGGGTAGTAGCAGCAAAGCATGTAAGCCAAGTACTTGCTAGTGGCCCTAGCATTATTTTCTTGGCTCTGAAAAAAGTTCAGCTACTTGTTTTTTTTCTCCTTAATCTGTCTGCTCAACCTTACATGGTGGTCATTGTCTATCAACAGCCTTAGAGCATTTATAAAGATGTCAGCCAGCCAGAATGTGTCCTAACTACCATTTCACATACTTAGTGGACAGAAAACAAAGACAAGTATGAATTTGGAAAGAGGAAAGGCAGATCTGCAAAGAAATTGGAACAGGGGGTTTGAAACAGTGGTGTGATTATTTTCTTTATTATTATTATTAATTTTGTTTTTTTCTTACAAGTTGGGCACCTCTGTGTGGCTGGAACCCCTTTCAAACTAGAAAACAGATTTGATGATGTAACCAGAAATTCCTAAGCTGTATTTGTGGTGGAGGATGACTGAAGTGGTGATTGATAGAGCTAAGTGAAGCTGCTGCTTCAAAATCTCTTGTGTCCTGTTGACCTACAGCAGCTGTGCTAGAATTGCTGGCCTTTTGTAGAGACTTCATTGCAGCTCCTCTCTAGAGTGTCCTGATGGGTTTTCCTCTACTTTCCAAGACTATCCTGGAAACTAAATAATCTATGAAAAATTTAGATCCACTGAGCAATCTGCAAATAAAGACACCAGCCTGGGTAGTTGAGGAGTGTGATTTGTCTGCTGTTGTCATAGACTGCAACAAATGAAGAAGCAGTGATTTTTGACTCCTGAAAGACTTAGGGGCATGTCTCATTTCTTAGATTTCTAGCACAAACATTAGGGAAAACAAACAAACA